AGAGCCCAAGGGGGTGGGATTAGCATAACCTCAGATTTGCGTGGAGGGTGAAGTTTGTTTTTCCACAAGCAGCCCGTGTTGGAGTCCGAGAGGGCATGGGAGGCGGAGGAAGGTCCAGTTTAGGGCCAGGAGGCAGGCGTGATGAGAGGAGGAGTAGTGACTGAGGCAGTGCAGCCCTGGGATCCAAGGCCACAGCTGGCCAGATGGGCGGCCTAACAGGTGGGGGTGATGATACTGTGTTTGGAGAGGGAGGGAGGGGCAGTTGGAGCGACTGGAGAACCAACGGGCTGAGGCAAGGCAGGCGCCAGTTCCGGGGTGGGGGTGACCGGGGTAGTAGCGAGAGAAATGGTGGATGGGGGGACCGTCGCGACCATTGGGGAGTCTGTAGGCTGGTGCTGAGCAGGCACGGAATCTGGGGGTGCAGGAAGGATCTCTGGATAGGAAGTGGGTTGAGGGGGAAGAGACAGACCCTCTAGAGGGTCGGTGAAGAGGGGAGGGTTGCTTATCGATAGAAAGGGAGGCCTTACAAGTGTCCTGATTGACGTCTGCGCTGTCTGGCTCATTTCTGGTAATTAAAGCTGGGAGGTAAAACAGGAAACGGAGGGAGGGGAGTGCAATATTTAGAAAGCCTTGGACATACTGGGCCTCTGACCCTCTTTCTGTCCTGCGGCAATAGTTATCTAGGTTACAGAGGATATTAAAATCCAAAGTCCCCATCCAGTGCCCAGGGCGACCAGTTATCCAATACATATTATGGCCAGGCCACTGTGGAATAGTTAAGCGTTCTTTTTGTTTTACGGAGGTCCTGGGACAGTACCAAGGGGCCAAAGTTAGCCAGAAGACAACACTAAAGGTGTCTGAAGATCAATTTTAGTCTCGGAGTTTCCCATTGTTTTTCCTGCTGAGGCTTCTGACTGGACAGGCACAGACCGCAGGTGTCCCCACGGGTCAGCTGCCTGGAGACCAGCGAGTGACAGCCGTCACCGGTGGGATGTCTGCCCGACTGAGTGAGGCCCCGAAACCTGTGTGTGTGTGTGTGTGTGTGTGCCAAGGAGCGCTGTGCCTGTGTGCGCAGTGTGGAACCCCCGACGCAGCTACGATTTTCAGAGTGCAGGGACACACAAAAGCCAGAGAAGTCTCAGAAGGATGGGAGGGAGGACTCGTGTCTGCCGGGCTAATTGGAGGGTGAGGTTGGATGCCCCATCCTGGAGCTTGTCTGGTCCACGCCAGGGGTGTTCTTTTAGTGTGACGGGCGGCTGCAAGGCTACACACCGCCCCTGGGTCAGAACCACTCCAGTACCTTCGTGTCCACAGAGTCGATTGTGTACGGTCGGAGGTCACGTTCAGAACCAGAAATCCACACAGAATAGAGGTCAGCTTCAAGTAAGCTTCATTGGGAGCGTTCCTGGGTGAGGTTCACTGGTCCGGCAGAGACAGTGGGCCGGGGAAGTTGTGCCCCCCGGGACGTGAGTGGTTGTTTTTATTTGGGGGGCTGTAGAGGTGGGGGCTGGGGGACAAAGGACTTTACCTTTATGAGTGTCATTGGCCCCCTGCGACCTTGGTGGATCCGCATGTCACTGCTGGCCGAGGAGGAAGCTGCCTTCTCCCGGTGTGGCCTTAGCAGCTGCCCTTCTCGGCTGCCTCCCAGGCGCCTCTCACCCATCCGGCTGGGCCTTACCTGTGTGTTTGCGTTCATTATGGACTCTATAGCTGTAAAAGTTTTTCTCAGTTCCACATTCTATTTTGATTGAGTCCCCCGACTTTTGATCTTTTTTGGGGGGGTTTCTGTCTCATTGAATTTAGGAACTGGCTTTTCCTTTTTTTTTTTAATTAATTTATTTTTTCTTGTTATATGTTTGACAATCTTTACAGAGTCAATTAGGGTAAAAAGGTTCAAGGGCTATAGGGAAGTGGGTAAGACTATGATTTCCATATTGTTTTCTTCATGTTTAAAGGGGGGTAGTAAGGGAGTTTCTTTGGGGATCTCCCCAATCGAAATGCTGGACTCAGAGCCCTAACCAAGAAAAGAGAGAAGACAGAACAGGTCAATCAACCATCTCAGCTATATGTTGGCAGCAAAATGCGGGGCAAACGGAGACTCTATGATGGACTATGTCAATCAGTGGATTCTTCAAAGACCTCATAGTGCTTGAGTGGCAAGATTGGCACGATTTATAACTGGTGAACTGTCAAAACCACTTGGTCAGAACCTTGGAGGATACTCTACATCCAGGACCTGGGGAGGGTGGGAAATTGGGTGGGCCTTCTCCCTTAATACCTTTTTCTTTTTTTTTTTTTAATTGGGAAGTCAGGTATACATAGAGGAGGAGAGACAGAGAGGAAGATCTTCCATCCAATGATTCACTCCCCAAGTGAGCACAATGGCTGCTGCTGCTGCGCCAATCCGAAGCCGGGTACCAGGAACCTCCTCCAGGTCTCCCACGCAGGTGCAGGGTCCCAAGGCTTTAGGCTGTCCTCGACTGCTTTCCCAGGCCACAAGCAGGGAGCTGGATGGGAAGTGGAGCCACCGGGATTAGAACTGGCGCCCGTATGGGATCCTGGCACGTTCAAGGTGAGGGCTTTAGCCGCTACGCTCCGGGCCCTCTTTTGCGTGTCTTAACAGCCCTGGCCAGTATGTAGTCTTGATGCTGAGTAGCAGCTGTGAGCGTGGGCTGGGTGTCCTGCTCCTGGCCCTAACCTGTTTGGTGGTGGCCTTTCTCTTTCACCTTGAACTCTCATGTTGTGTCACGAAAGAAGATTGAATGGTCTAGTGATTTTTTTTTTCAATTTGGTTGAAGTGGTCACGCTTTCCTCTTTATTCGATTTTCTCAAAGATTTACTTATTTTGAATGCAATGGCACGTTTACAGAGGAGAATCAGAGAGAAAGATCTGTCTGTTGGTTCACTCCTGAAGTATCCTCAGTGGCTGAAGCTGAGCTGATCAAGAGCTAGGAGCCAGGAACTTCTTCCAGGTCTCCCACGAGGGTGCAGCATCCCAAGGCTTTGGGCCGTCCTCCACTGCTTTCCCAGGCCACAAAGCAGGGAGCTGGATGGGCAGTGGATCAGCTGGGACATCAACTGGTGCCCACATGGGATCCCGGAGCTTGAAGGGGGAGAATTAGTGGATTGAGCCATTGTGCAAGACTGCTACATCTGGTTTCCTGTAAGGACACTGTGTGGGCGCTTGCTCCTCCACAGGAATCTGTTGTATTTTATGGTGTGCTTGCCCATGGTCTGTACTGTGCTGGAGCATCTTCGCTTTTGAGAGAGAGAATGTCAGACAGACAGCGGACCAAGCAACAATGAGATCTTCCTTCTGCTGGTCAGCTGCCCACATGCCCACGCAGCTGGGTAAGGCTTAGCTAGGATGTCCCCGGTGGGTGGCAGGGATGCAGGGCACGCCCCACCCCTCACCTGGTTTTTCAGATAGGGTGTTCTGGGGTTGACACCACCCCCAGGTTGTTGCCTTGTCACAGTCACTGTTGGGGATGAGCTGTGTTGTGTGTTGGTGTGAGTGTGCAATGCGGCTGGCATGCCCTGTGCTGTGTGTGTGAGTGTGCAATACGGCTGGCATGCCCTGTGCTGTGTGTGTGAGTGTGCAATATGGCTGGCATGCCCTGTGCTGCGTGTCTGTGTGAGTGTGCGATGCAGCTGGCATGCCCTGTGCTGTGTGTAGGTGTGAGTGTACAATGCGGCTGGCATGCCCTGTGCTGCGTGTCGGTGTGAGTGTACAATGCGGCTGGCATGCCCTCTGTGCTACATGCTGGCCTGAGTGTGTGGTGCGTCTGGCACACCCTGTGAGCCGCATGCCTTCTCATCTTCATGTTGGGACACTGCGACATGTATGGGATCTTCAGAGAGCCTGACTCCGGTGAGGCTGGCATCTGACCCTGCTTTCCTTTGGGGACAGGGGACGAAGACTGCCCACCTCCAGCTAGACTTTCTGTCTTTATTGCTTTTTTCCTTTTCCTTTGGAACTGGTAGAGTCTGAACATTTTGAGAGGAGCTTCATGTTGTAACTGGAAACTGAATCTTTGTAGGTGTTCTGGGAGAGTCCCTCAGGGACTGTGCATAGCCCTCAGCAAATTAAGATGCTGCTGGGGGCTTGTGCCATGCCTCTGCCCGTGCCGCCGAGTACCGCTTCCCATCCAGCTTGCTGCTGGTGGCCTGGGGAAGTAGAGGAGGACGGCCCAAGTGCTTGGATCCCTGTACCTGTGTGGGATACCTGGAAGAGACTCCTGGCTCCTGGCTGCGTATCAGCTCAGCTCGTGCTTCTGCGACTGCTTGGGGAGTGAACCAGCAGGTGGAAGATCTCTCGGTCTCTCCTTCTCTGTGTAGATCTGCCTTTCCAATAAAAATGATAAATAAATCTTTAAAAAAATATATGCACTAATTTTTATTGGACAGGAAGATCTACAGAGAGGAGAGTCAGAGGTCTTCTTTCACTTCCATCATCTACTTCCCAGCCAGACTGGAGCCAGGAGCCAGGAGCTCCATCCGGGTCTCCCATGCGCTGAGCCAGACTGGAGCCAGGAGCCAGGAGCTCCATCCGGGTCTCCCATGCAGGTGCAGGTGCCCAAGGACCTTAGCCATCTTCCTTTGCTTTCCCAGGCCATTAGCTGGATGGGAAGTAGAACAGCCAGGACCAAACTGCTGCCCATATGGGATGCTGGTGCGACAGGCAGAGTCTTACCAAGCTGGTCCACTGTGTCTGCCCCTCTTCCTTTTGTTGCCAACTTTGAGAGTAACTAGATGCTACTTTTTGAGTCTGCTGGCTCACCCCCATTTGTGGCTGTCCTCCATCTGCTGGCCCCCATCTGTTCCCTGTCTGTGGCTATACCCTGTCTGCTGGCTGTCCCCTTTCTGTGGATGTCCCACATCTGCTGGCTGTCCCCTGTCTGCTGGCTGTCCCCCGTCTGTGACTGTCCCCCGTCTGCTAATTGTGGACACAGACGACCTCACGACTCGAGCAGTGACCGTCCACGTTCTGTCTGTTTCAGATCCCAGATTACAGGAATGCGGTGATTGTGGCCAAGTCTCCAGCCTCGGCCAAGAGGTAGGGGCCCTTCCCCCAAGCCTGTCTGGGTCTTCCTGAGGGGAGGGGGGACCCCTCCCGGAAGCACATCTGGGGTGACCTTGGTCCCTGGGCCAGAGTGGAAGTTGTGATCTCATTGAGGATTTCCTACGAGTGTGTCTGGGTGGGAAGCAGGGCTGTGTGCCCCCAGCCCTGGGAGGTGAGTGCCCAGTCACTGATGCCCATTCTCTGGGGCATCATGAGCTCTGGGGCGTGAACGCCAGCCCTCTGAGCTCCCCGGGCCAAGCTCTGAGCGAGGAAGGATGTGGGCGCTGGCACCCAGCGAGCCTGTCAACATCTGGTACAGATATGAAGTCACGCATTGAGAGGAACTGGGTGCGTAGGTTTTTGGAGGTGGCCAAACCTCTGCCCACTTCATGTGCTTCGGGGAGCCGTGCCCTTGATGTGCCTGGTGTCATTTGATAAAGGCATGAGGAAAAACAGCTTTATGGGGAGAAAAGAAAAAAAAAGGTTTCTATATTTATTTGAAAGGCGGAGTGAGAGAGAAAAGAGAGAGAGGGTGATCTTTATTTTTGATTCACTTCCAAATGTGCTCAACAGCCGGGGCTGGGCCAGACCCAAGCCAGGAGTCAGGAGCTCTGTCTGGGTCTCCCACATGGCTGGCAGGAGCCAAGAACTGGGGTCTGTCTTCTCACTGCTTTCCCAGGAGTGTTAACAGGGAGCCGGATACCAAGTGGAGCAGCCAGGACTTGGATTGGTGTTCTGACAAGATGGTGGTACCCTGGGGACCTACCATTACCCCACAACACTGGCCCAGCTGGTGACTGTTTTAAAGGTTTATTTATGGGCCTCTCTCAATGGCTCAACTGGCTAATCCTCCATCTCCAAGCTCTGGGATCCCATATGAGCCACTGGTTTATATCCTGGCTGTTCCACTTTCCATGGCCTGGGAAAGCAGTGGAGGAATGCCCAAAGCCTTGGGACCCTGCACTCAAATGGCAGACCCGGAAGATGCTCCTGGCTTCAGAAGGGCTTGGCTCTGGCCATCAGGGTCTTTTGGGGAGTGAACCAGCAGAGGGAAGATCTTTCTCTCTGTCTCTCCTTTTTCTCTGTAAATCTGTCTTTCAAGTAAGAATAAATAAATCTTTTTAAAAGTCCTTTCTTTTAAGATTTATTTATTTTTATTAAAAAGGTCATATTTATGAAGCTGAGCCTATCTGAAGCCAGGAGCTTCTTCTGGATCTCCCACACGGGTGCAGGGTCCTAAGGCTTTGGGCCGTCCTCCACTGCTTTCCCAGGCCACAAGCAGGGAGTTGGATGGGAAGTGGAGCTGCCGGGATTAGAACCGGCTCCCATATGTGATCCCCATGCTTGTGAGGCCTGGTTGGACTAGCTAGTAGAGGCCCCGTGCAGGCCCTCTGAGGTAGTTCTGTCCGGCTTGCTCGCATTCCCTCACCTACACCATCAGCAGGACCGCGGGGTGCTGACCGGTGTCTTGTGCTTCCCCGCAGGGCACAGTCTTTCGCCGAGCGCCTGCGCCTGGGAATCGCCGTGATCCACGGAGAAGCACAGGACGCCGAGTCGGACTTGGTGGACGGCCGGCACTCGCCGCCCATGGTCAGGAGCGCGGCTGCCATCCACCCGAGCCTGGAGATCCCGAGTGAGTGGGCGGCTCGCTCTGTGGCGTGGGCTGTGAACTCATGCTGGGCTGTTGAAAACTGCATTCCCTCTGTACTCTGTGGTTTGTTTATGTGTTTGTTTTTTTTTTTTTTAAGATTTATTTATTTTTATTGGAAAGCCAGGTATATAGAGAGGAGGAGAGACAGAGAGGAAGATCTTCCATCCGATGAGTCACTCCCCAAGTGGCCGCAATAGCCGATGCTGTACTGATTCAAAGCCAGGAGCCAGGAACTTCTTTCTGGGTCTCCCATGTGGGTGGAGGGTCGCAATACTTCCTCAGGCCACAAGCAGGGAGCTGGATGGGAAGCGGGGCTGTTGGGATTAGAACCAGCAGCCCATATGGGATCCCAGTGTGTTCAAGGCGAGGCCTTTAGCCGCTAGGTCACGGCGCTGGGCCCATATTTATGTAGTTATTTTTAAAGCTCTGTTTTATTTATTTGAAAAATGGAGTTACAGATTTTGTCTGCTGGTTCACTCCCCAAAATGGCCACCATGGCCAGGTCTGGGACCTGGCTTGAAGCCTTGGAGCCAAGAGCTTCCTCCAAGTCTCCCCCGTGGGTGCAGGAACTCGAGCACTCACTTGGACCATCTGCCATGGCTTTCCCATGCACAGTGGCAGGAAGCTGGATCAGAAGCAACTGGGAGTTGAACCGGGCCTGTCTGGGAGCCTGCTGCTGCAGGCAGAGGGTTAGCCTGATGAGCTACCACACTGGCCCCAGGCAGGTGTTTCTGGATCCAGCTAGCCTCCTGCCGTGTTCTAGCATCCCCGGGTCGGCTCTGGGAGTCATTTTGCTGTCAGGAGGCGCATGTCCTCCGCTCTGAGAAAGGCCATTTGCTTCTTTTTGATCTGGATGCCATTTCTTCCTACTTTTTGCCCAGAGTCTGGCCAGCACGGCGGGGAGTGGAGGAAGAGCATGGTGTGGCTGGCGTCCTGGGCTTGCCCTGGCCCAAGGCGTGAGGGGTGGTGGAGGGTGTTGTGGGCTGTGCATAGCGGGCTCTGACGCAGGCTGTCCCCCACCCCCTTGTGGGTGGGGTGCTGCTGTCAGGACACGTTGGCGTCTCCAAGCTTCCTGTTTAACATATGGACTTCTGCGTGTGTGTGTTTTATCCCGAACAGTGTTGATCCCCAAGGAGAAGCCCCCGATCACGGTGGTTGGGGACGTGGGTGGCCGGATCGCCATCATTGTGGTATGTACCCGTGCTGCCGTTACTGGTGCTGGCACCTGCCATTGCTGCCTCCTTTCCTCGTTACCTGTGTCACACCAGAGGCCCGGCGCCAGCAGCCCCGTGCTCTGATAGGCGGGAAAGTGCTGTCATGCGTGCATTTAAAACATGGCTTACTAATGGATGATTGAAAAATGTATGGGAATCAAAAGACGTGTTTGTTATTTTCAGATTTGTGTATTTAAGGGGGGGGGATATTTCCCATTCTCTGGATCGCTAACCTGGATAGTTAGGGCTGGACCAGGTCAGAGCCAGGCGCCTGGAACCTCCCCAGGGTCTCCCACAGGGCACAGGACCCAAGGCGTGGGCCATTTTCTACTGCTTTCCTGGGCACAGTTACAGGGAGCGGATTAAAAGTGGAGTAGCTGGGACTTGCACTGACACACAGGACCAGCCCAATGGAAAAATTTTGAAAGCCATGCTTATTATGGGTCTTTAGAGAGTTCATAGAGAAGGTATATTGGGAAAAAAAGGCTACAACATTTGTGTTTTTTTTTTTTTTTTATTTTGGCATCAAAATCGGGTTATTTGTAGTCTCATTTCCCCACAAACTTTCCCTCGTGTGTGTTAAACAGGAGCAGAACAAATACGTGGGTGCTCTGGACCTGCCGCTGGGGTTTTCCTGCGTCTCTTCTTATTTTTATTTTATTTAATGAATTACTTTTTTTTAAAGATTAATTTTTATTGGAAAGGCAGATATGCAGAGAGGAGGAGAGACAGAGAGGAAGATCCTCTGTCTGATGGTTCACTCCCCAAGTGACTACAATGGCCGGTGCTGAGCCAATCCGAAGCCAGGAGCCAGGAGCTCTTCTGGGTCTCCCATGCAGGTGCAGGGTCCCACGGCTTTGGGCCATCCTTAACTGCCTTCCCAGGCCACAAGCAGGGAATTGGATGGGAAGTGGGGCCGCTGGAATTAGAACCAGCGTCTGCCTGGGATCCCAGGGCGTTCAAGGTGAGGACCCTAACCACTATGCTATTGTGCTGGGCCCTCTCTCCTTATTTTTAAAACAAAATTTTTATTTATTTGCTCTCTCTTATTGCAAAGAGAGAGAGAGATCGATGCTCCATCTGCTAGTTCACTCCCCAGTGCCCATGTGGCCTGGAAGCCATTACCTGCTGGCCCCAGTGGCACCTGAGCAGAACTCCGGAGTGGAAGCCGAGTAGCCTAGCTGGGGCTTGAACCAGGCATTCCAGCATGGACTGCGGTGATCCAGTGGTTTAACTGCTGAGCCAGATGTACCACCACCCCACCGCGCCTTGGGCTTTGCTTCCATCTTCTGCCTGAACTTTTATCCTTAGCCTGAAAGTCATCCATCCATGCCCTGACTTTTCTTTCCGGCCTGCCATGGGTGTGTGGTCTCTCTCATTTTTGCTGTTTATAAATAATGACCACATTTTTTCCCTCTCACTGTTGTGTGGTGTGACTGTCACTCCTGTTCTTATAGCTGTGTGCATTCTTTTTTTTTTTAAGATTTGTTTTTATTGGATAGGCAGATTTACAGAAAAAAGGAAAGACAGAAAGATTTTTGCATCCACTGGTTCACATCCCAAATGGTCACAGTAGTTGGAGCGGAGCTGATCCAAAGCCAGGAGCCAGGAGTTTCTTCCGGGTCTCCCATGCAGGTGTAGGGTCCCAAGGCTTTGGGCCGTCCTCTACTGCTTTCCCAGGCCACAGGCAGGGAGCTGGATGGAAAGTAGAGCAGCCGGGACATGAACCTGTGTCCCTGTGGGATCCCAGGCCTTGGAAGTGGAGCAGAGATATAGGGGCTGGAAGTTCAAGACCAAGGTGCCAGCTCTGGGTCCCTGGGTGCCAGCTCTGGGTCGCTGGCCGCCTGTCACACAGTGAGGAGCTGACTGTTGTTACAGGGTCGGCTCTCCCTCCAGGGCAGCCCCAGTCTCAGCCTGTGAGTGTCACATGCATGACACCCAGGGGCTGATCTGTCACCCAGCATGGGCCACTACCCACTACCATGGCAGGTGGGTTCAGGTAGCAGTCGCAGACGGCGGCCTCACGTCCAGCTGTGGGCTTCACCCTCACCACTGGCCCGCATGTTCACATACGGGTCTCTGTGTGAAGAGAGGTTGAATTCCTCTGCATTAAAGTCCAAAAACGTAGTCGTTGGTCTGTGTGGCAGTTCCACGTTCTGAAAAGTCCTTAGAAGTTCAGGTCCTTCAAAGGAACCATGGGACCCATGCCATGGCATAGTACGCTAATATACCACGTGCAGTGCCAGCATCCCTATGGAAGCCAGTTCAAGTCCTGGTGGCTCCACTCCCCAACCAGCTCCCTGCTTCTTTTAGGAAAGTAACGGGATGGCCCTAATGTTTGTATGCACATGGGAGAGCCAGAGGAAGCTCCTGGCTCCTGGCTTTGGACTGGCCCAGCTCCGGCCGCAGTGGCCATTTTGGGAGAGAACCAACGGATAAAAGATCTCTCTCTCTTCTGTCGCTGTAAATCTTTGTAAATAAATAACTAAAAGCAGGCACCCTGTCATGCTGCAGAGTGACTGCCCCAGCTTGCCAGCAGCATTTTTTCCCAAAGGGGGAGCCTGAGCTCTCCGAGCTGTTGGTTCACTCCCCAAACGCTCCAGCCAGCCAGGACAGGGCCAGGAGCTCACTGCGGGACTGCTCCTAGGGTGTGCGTGGTCGGAAGCTGGAGTCGGCAGCAGAGCCGGGGTGGGGGGGGGCGGGGACCTTCACGCCAAGCCCTGGTTTGAGTTGTGGTCACGCCAGCACACAGATGAGGCGGTGAGACCCCCAGGTCTGCAGCATATAACGCTAGGCACTGTTGCCCACCGCTGCGCGGTTTGATGCTATAAATGGGCCGTCTGCGGGAACTCTGGGCCGTGGATCCGACAGCGCTGGCCTTGCCATCAAGAGCAGGAGCCACCCCTGTCTCCCACTGTGAGAACATTTGCACAATGCATTTTGCCCATAAAGAAAAACCTGGAATATAAGGAGGGGTGGAAGAAGCATGTGAGGGGGCATGTGGTGGGAGCAGGGGGAGCCCTCCATGATCTCCCGTTTCCCAGAGGAAAAGTGTCTTTGTGATGAGTTTTTTGTGCATTTAGAAGCCAACAGCCCGCATTCCACAAACATTCCTGGAGCCGCCTGGGGGCTGCAGTGGGGGTGGGGAGGGGCCACGGGGAAGCCTGCAGGACCACCTGGGAGCTGTCCATGTCCCCACACTGCCCCATCCTGGGATCCGTCCCCGGGGCTGCCCAGTCCTGCGGGGCGGCCTGGGAGCCATCCATGTGCCCACACTGCCCCATCCTGGGATCCGTCCCCGGGGCTGCCCTGTCCTGCGGGGCTGCCTGGGAGCCATCCTGGGCGCCCGAGCTGCGTTTGCAAAGCTGCTCACCTGCCCTCCACTCTGCTGACTTGACAGGATGACATCATCGATGACGTTGACAGTTTTCTTGCTGCCGCAGAGACCCTGAAGGAAAGAGGTGCCTATAAAATCTTCGTGATGGCGACTCATGGCTTGCTGTCTTCTGACGCCCCCCGGCTGATTGAGGAATCAGCCATCGACGAGGTAACGGCCCCCGGCCCTCGGCAGGAAGAAAGGGCCCTAACGCCACGCAGCAGCCAGGGCTGGGCCTGGCGGAGCAGGGCCTGGAACTCCACCTGGGTCTCCACATGCGTGGCTGTCCTTGGCGCCGTCACCCACGGAGCTTGGCTTGTCTGTCTGCTCCTTTCAGATTTACACTTTTCAGGGGAGGAGTCAGCTGGCCCTGTGGTGACCCTGTGCTTCTAGACTTTTCCTAAGCAGCTGAGCTGTCTTACCAGAGGTGGCTGATGTCTCCTCATCCTTGGCTTCTGTTAGTGGGGACTAACTGTCTTAGTGGTGGCCTGCTGTCCCTCCCCCAAGCCTCAGTGAGGGGTGCACAGCTTGTTGACCCCCAGGTGGCCTGCTGTCCCTCCCCCAGAACCTCAGTGAGGGGTGCACAGCTTGCTGACCCCCGTGTCCCCTGCTGACCCCCAGGTGGTTGTGACCAACACGATCCCCCACGAGGTGCAGAAGCTGCAGTGCCCCAAGATCAAGACGGTGGACATCAGCCTGATCCTGTCAGAAGCCATCCGCCGCATCCACAATGGGGAGTCCATGTCCTACCTCTTCCGGAACATTGGCCTGGACGACTGACGGCCCTCCCCCACCCAGGGCCACACTGGACCACTGCCCCCTCCCCACCCAGGGCCATGCCGGACCCCCATCTCCATACCCCCTCCCCCACCCAGGGCCATGCCGGACCCCCATCTCCATACCCCCTCCCCCACCCAGGGCCATGCCAGACCCCCATCTCCATACCCCCTCCCCCACCCAGGGCCATGCCGGACCCCCATCTCCATACCCCCTCCCCCACCCAGGGCCATGCTGGACCCCTGTCTCCATACCCCCTCCCCCACCCAGGGCCATGCTGGACCCCTGTCTCCATACCCCCTCCCCCACCCATGGGCCACGCTGGACCCTCCCCCCGTCTCTGTGCCCCCTCCCCTGCCCAGGGGCCACTGGACCGCTCGGCCCCTCCCCCTGCACCCTCTCCCCTGCATCCCTTGGACCACAGAGCAGCTTTTTGTGTCACTTTGGGTATTTGTGAATTTTTTTGGAGGGGCAATTTTGATAAAAGAAAAACTTTATTCTCTGGATTATTTTTAGTTGAACTATTTAAAAAGCAACAACAACTTGTAGAATATGATTTTGGAGCTCACTGTCTAGTCTCCCTCTCCTCACCCCCCAAGTGCTTAGTAAAGCAATGAAAAAAAGGCCATGAGTCGCGTGCACCTGCTGTTGGAAGGCCAGAAAGGTGGCCCTGTGCACGGCGGGCAGAGGGGACACGCTGGCGGTTGCTATTTATTTTCTGCAAGAGAAGAAGGGAGGTTTAAAGCCTTAACCTCTGTGCTGTGTGTTTTTAAAAAACTGTTTCTTGGTAATTGTTTTATAACAAATAAAAATAAAAACCAAAGGAATATTTGCGTGGTGGACATCGAAGCACTCCTCAGCCGGCCCCTTCTCTAACTTTTGGGGTGCAGTCCCTCTAGGGGGGTTGTGTAACACCTGACCTGGTCACCAGGCTGTGGACCGAGTGGTGAGTTCCCGGCCCAGACTGAGAGGGAGGCGGAGGAGGTGCCCCATGGGACAGCTCTGGGAGGACGGGGCGTGCGGCCCCCGTGGCCATCAGCAGCCTATGGATCCGGGTTGGAGGGGACAGGCCCTGGCTGCGTGGCCTTGTGCTGGGGCCTGCCCGCTGGCCGTGCGGGAACAGCCGAGCTCCTGTTGCTTGGGAGCTGGGGTCGGGGAGGAGGGAGACTGCATGGCGGGTGGAAGCTGTGTGTTCTGCGTGATGGGGCTCCAGTCACCTGCGGTGTGTGCTCCACCACCTGCGAGCTTAAAGGGATTACATGGAACCACGCTCTGAGAACCAGCAGAGGTCACTGCCTCACTGCAGCCTCCCAGCCCCTCCCTGGGAGACCGAGGGGCCCTGCTCTCTCACGGTGTGGTGGCCAGCGCCATCGGGAAGGGGCGAGCCTGGAGTGGCTACAGCCATCACTGTCACTGCCTGGTGGCAATGCCATCACCCGTCCACACATGTGGGCTGGAGCTGGTTGGTGGTGACAACATGCAAGCGCCAAGAGCTGGTGGTGACGTCATCCACCTTAGGGTGGGGACACCTGCCTGTCACCATCTCTTCTCCAGGGCAAGGTCCCGCGGCCGAGCTGGGATCAGGAAGAGCTGCCTGCCTTACAGGCCTGTGGGCTGGCCAGTCCCAGCCGACCACCTGGACTCGGGTGGATGGCAGGGCTGGGCGAGGGCCCAGGCTGAGGTGGGAGGCTTTGGCTCGGCTTTTCTGGCCTGCAGTCAGCGTGGCTGGGTGGTAACCTGCCTGGTCGGCCTCCTGGCAGTCTGAGTGCCAGGCTGGTTGGGGCTGTGGGCCCTCACTGCCCCGCACTGTCCCTCTGTGCTGTGCCTGGCATGAGTTAACAACCGCCAACGGGAGGGGTGCAGGCTGGGCCCGGCAGCGTGGCCTAGCGGCTTAAGTCTTCGCTTTGAACACGCCGGGATCCCATATGGGTGCCGGTTCTAATCCTGGTTGCTCCACTTCCCATCCAACTCCCTGCTTGTGGCCTGGGAAAAAGCAGTTGAGGACGGCCCAGAGCCTTGGGACCCTGCACCCGTGTAGGAGACCTGGAGGAAGATCTTCCATCCATGGATTCACTCCCCAAGTAGGTGCAACTGCCCGTGCTGAGCCAATCTGAAACGAGGAGCCAGGAGCCCCTTCCTGGCCTCCCATGTAAGTGCAGGGTCCCAGGCTTTGGACCATCCTCCAGTGCTTTCCCAGGCCACAAGCAGGCAGCTGGATGGATGGGAGGTGGAGCTGCCGGGATTAGAACCGGCACCCTTATGCTATCCTGAAGTGTTCAAGAAGAGGACTTTGGCTGCTAGGCTATTGCGCTGGACCCAAGTAAATTAAGAACCTTCTTGAAGAAAATGATGCTACTGTATGATCTATGAGTCAGTGAAGAATTTAATGAGAAAGTGTTTTGAAGAGATGCAACTAAACAAACAAAAAGAACCACATCAAAATGTAGGAGATACAGTTTCCACTTTGTTGGTGAGTTATGTCTCCTATAGGCAATACATAGATGAGTTTTATTTTTTTTAATTCAATCTACTAATCTGTGATGTTTGATTGATGAGTTTAAGCCATTTACATTCAGTATTAATAGGAATGGGTTATTAACTGACTTAGTCTTCTGTTGTCATTTTACTGGGATGTTCTTCCCATTTGCCTTTGGTTTTGGTAGGTGCTATTCCTCTTCTCTGTCGAGAACATCTTAAAGTATCATTTGTAGGGCAGGTTTGGAAGAGGCAAATATTTTTTAACTTTTTCTTTACTGTGGAAGAATTTTATTTCGTTTTCAAAGACACAGGGAAGCTTTGCTGGGCATGCTATCCTGGGCCGACAATTTTTTGCTTTTAGGATCTGAATATGTCGATCCATTCTCTTCTGGCCTGTAGAGTTTCCTGTGAGAGATCTCCTGTGAGCTTAATTGGCCTTCCTTTATATGTGAACTGATTTTTTTCATGTGCACATTTAAGGATCTTTTCCTTATGTTCGATTGAAGAGAGAGCTTGATTATCGTGTGTCATGAAGAACACTTTTGGTCAATCCTGTTGGGAGTTTTGTGCCCCTCCTGGATGTTGTTTCCCAATTATTTCTCTAGATTAGGGAAATTTCCTCTTATTATTTCATTGAATACATTTTTTTTTAAGATTTTATTTTTATTATTTTTTTATTGGAAAGGCGGATATACAGAGAGGAGAGACAGAGAGGAAGATCTTCCGTCCGATGATTCACTCCCCAAGTGAGTGCAACGGGCCGATACTATGCCGATCCGAAGCCAGGAGCCTCTTCCGGGTCTCCCACATGGGCACAGGGTCCCAAGGCTTTGGGCCATCCTTGACTGCTTTCCCAGGCCACAGGCAGGGAGCTGGATGGGAAGCGGGGCTGCCAGGATTAGAACCGGCGCCCATATGGGATCCCGGGCGTGCAAGGCGAGGACCTTTAACCACTTGCGCCACCGCGCCGGGCCCTGAATACATTTTTAAACCCAGCTTCTCCTTCTGTACCTTTGACTCCCGTAAGTCTTATACCTGACCTTTTAACAGTGTCTTTCAATTCTTGAATACTTTTTTTCGCCTGATCCAGCTCTGCTTCCAGCTTTTTGTTTGTTTCCCCCTGGTGACAGGAAATGTCTTCCAATTCTGAGATTCTTTCTTTCCAGCTCAGCGCATGCGCAGCTCACTGCTGTCTGCAATATTAGTCTTTCCACACTGTACAAAACGGCGCTTGATGTGCTACTACTGGAGTTCTTGATCTGCTGGCCGTCAGGTCTGAGGGCTACTCAGATCTATCTTGGGTGGAACCTGTTGGATGCCACATTGATGCAGTTCACTGAGCCATACATTAATTCACTCCCAGCTCAGTGCATACGCAGTCCTGCCCCATAGCTTTTGCCTCTCTGCACAAAGTGGTGCCTGATTCGGCTCTTAGGGGGTAGACTGGGCTGTGAAACCCACCCTGTTCCCGCGCCGCCTCTCTGGGACCTGCTGCTCTGTCTCTGCTCCTGGTTAAACCAAACAGACAGAAGGACAGGCAGGTTTTTTTTTTTTTTTTTTTTTTTTTTTTGTCTAGGTTCACCTCCTGAGCTCCCAGTGAATGCCCCTTCCCATTTTGTTGCTGGTGGAGTTCCAGCCGCTGGTGCAGTTCAGAATGCTGATGGGGTGTTGGTCACTGCAACACCACATTGTTGTGTCCGCTGCTTTCCCGTGTCTGTCAGTCTCCAGGTGCCCCTCTGCTCTTGTTCTGTCCTCTTCTCTCTCCTGGAATGTGCCCTCTCTGCTTCACACCTATTAATGTTTCTCTGCTTAAACGTGTCCTTACCCTATTCCGCCATCTTGATTCTGTCGCTGCTTCACTTCTAATCGAGCTTCCTGCCAGAGCACCTGGGAAAGAAACAGAGGACGGTCTGGGTGTTTGGACCCCTGCATCCTGGAAGAAGCTCCTGGTCTCAAGCTGGAAGAGCTCTGGCCATTGCAGTCATTTGCATAGAAAACTAGCAGATTGAAGATGTCTCTCTCTCTCTCTCTCTGTAACTCTGCCTTTCAAATAAATCAAGGCAGGCTGGAGAGAAGCGGAGAGGGCTGGGAGGGGCTTGCAGGCTGGAGCACCAGGCAGGGCCTAGGGAGCTCACTAGCTGAGGCTGGCGGGGGTGGAGCAGCTGGAGCCGGTCCTCCGGCACCACCGAGCGGTCATCACTGTGAACCACAGCATCCACCAAGGCCTGATTCTTCCCTGGAGGCCGCGGGCTGCCCTGGCCCAGGGTTCCCCACCTGCTCTGTTCTCAGGTGCTTGTCTGAGAGCTTCCACGAGCTGGTGCGTTCCCCAGACGCCTGCAGCTGCAGAGCTGGGCCAGGCCACGGCCAGGAGCGGGAGCTGCATCCGCGTCTCCCAGGTGGGTGCAGGGGCCCGAGCATCCAGAGAGGGGCGGGCACTGGGCCTGGTGGTGAAGACCCCTGTGAGTGTCAGGGTTCCAGACCCAGCGCCCGCTCCTGGCCTTGAAGGCCGTGGTGTTGGGTCTGGGGTTTCACTCTCTGGCACCCACAGGGCACGCATGGACTGAGCCCCCAACTCGCAGTTTCAGCGCAGCCCAGCCCTGGCACTGCAGGCATTTGGGAAGTGTACAGCAATTGGGAATTCTCTCTCTCTCTCTCCTCTTCCTCTTGAACACATTTCTCAAATAAATGGTTGGGGCCAGTGCTATGGTATAGCAGGCTAAGCCACTATCTACGGTGCTGGCATCCGTTATGGGCACCAATCTGAGCCCTGACTGCTCCCCTTCAGATATCGCTCCTTGCTTATGGCCTGGGAAAGCAACAGAGGATGTATTTCTTTGGGATCTTGCTTTGGGACCATGTGGGAGATCCAGAAGGAGCTCCTGGCTCTTAGTTTTGGCATGGCCTAGTTGTGGCCATCTGCGGAGGGAACCAGCAGATGGAAGATTCCTCTCTCTCCCTGTCTTTGCCACTCAGTCTTTCAAATGAATAAAGCTCTCATTTTACAAAGCATCGATGGAGCCGGTGCTATGTGCGGATACATGGCTGACGTGTCCTCCACGCTGGGCTGCCTGCACCGCCACCTCCAACCGGAGCAGCACCACGTCTGTGCAGCCTGACACACGGCTTGCAGCTGCAACAAGGATGCCACCGTCACCCACTGCAGGGAGTTGCACGCGCCCGTGTGTGTGTGTGTGTGTGTGTGTGTGTGTGTGTGTGTGTGAGTCCTTGGTGTTCAGAGGTGGGACCTAGCCCAACCGTGGCCACCACTGAAACAACACTGGAGATAGTCAACTTCGGAGGGCAGATGCTAGGCGGCGAGTTGGCGAGGGCATTGCCCGGAGAATCAAGGGCATTGGTGTGAATGTCGGGGATTTGGGTTGCTGAGGTTGTCTGCCAGGCTGGGTTGGGTCCCAGGGTGCCTAACAGGTGTCTGTTAGCTGCCATGCGTGCTCACTTCGGCTGGGTCCTTGGTGGTACACAGCGAGTTTTGCTTGGGGGAGGTGAACAGGCAAGGTGAGTTGGGTAAGGGGGCTGGTCTGAGCCTGCCTGAGCTGCTCTGGCAATGGCTCCAGGCTCTCCTCCAACGCCTAGCCCTGGCGAGCGAGGGTTAATCTTTGGCCCCATGTCTCAGAGTCACTGAGTAACAGCCGTGTCTCAGGCCAGCGCCTCCCCGGCATGGCTGCTCACACGTGGACGCTTCTGGGAAGACAGCGTGTCCGGTTAAACTCCACAGGTGTTGTGATAGTGAGAGCAAGCGAGCGAGCGAGCGAGCAAGCGAGCGAGGGAGAGGCTGCCCTGCAGAGCCCCCGAACCTGTGACCCTGTGCTGAGACGCACACCTCAGCTTAGGTGGTGAGCGGACAGCAGCCCTGCCTGCTGGGCCCCACATGAGGCCAGAGCTGTTGCGGTCATTTGTGGAGGAGACCCCAGAGCCTGCTGCCGTGCCCCTCTGCGTGGGATGGATCCTTCAGCCATGCGGTGGCCTTATGGGAATCTGGCATTGCAGACCACGGCTTTACTCACTGTACTGGACCCTCCATATTTCTCAGACAAATTAAATACAAGTGAATCTATCCAGCCTTTTTTTTTTCCCCTCTGGGACTGCTCCTGTTCCTCTGGGCCTACTGAGCCCCTTTTATGTCTTCCCCCCAGATCTCTCCAAGTTCGATAGCGCCCTGCCTCTGCTCCTGAGGGCACCTGCACTCCCCCACCCAGAGCCCTAGCTCTGGCTCTGTGCGCAGCTGTGCCCTGGGTTGGAGGTGCCCCGTTCTACTCGGTTTAATGATCAATGAGTGCCCCAGTGGAAGCCCTTCCCGACTCGGCTTCCCTCAGCCACTCCAGCTCAGACAGGGCACCTGTGGTATGGGCAGGATGACGGCTGTCAACTCCACTGGCGACCTCCATGCTCCGGGGCCACAGCTGAGCGTGACCGACATCATCGCCATCACCGTGTATTTTGCCCTCAACGTGGCCGTGGGCATCTGGGTGAGAGGTCCTGCGCGGTGACGGTGGCCAGCTGGAGCTCTGGTGTGGGTGCTGGGAGGGTCGGGGGGAGCCGTGCCTGGGGCTCGGGGTTCAGCCTCGGATGCTCCTGATCCCAGCGCAGTGAGGGTGTACAGGCAGCAGACAGCCCACCTTGCAAAGCTTTCTGGCTTTGGCTCCTCCAACGTCTAGCCCTGGTGAGCGAGGGTTAATCTTTGGCCCCATGTCTCAGAGTCACTGAGTAACAGCCGTGTCTCAGGCCAGCGCCTCCCCGGCATGGCTGCTCACACGTGGACGCTTCTGGGAAGACAGCGTGTCCGGTTAAACTCCACAGGTGTTGAGATAGCGAGAGCAAGCGAGGGAGAGGCTGCCCTGCAGAGCCCCGAACCTGTGACCCTGTGCTGAGACGCACACCTCAGCTTAGGTGACCCTCTTAGGTCACCCTGGTAAGGTGACCCTCCCCTGGCCAGCCCCTGTTGCCCAGGGGATCGAAGAGGTTATGGTGACAGCAGCAGCAGCAGCAGCGACTGCCACGAACGTTTATGCAATAAAATGTGAAGTCGCAGGTGGCTCAGTGCTGGCCTCGGCTCTGCCCTGGGAGCAGGCACTTGTGGCCCTCAGGGGTCTCTGGCTGTGATCGGGCCAGGTCTCCCACGTGGGTACACGGCCTGAGCGCTCGGGCCATCCTCTGCTGCTTTCCCAGGCACTTTAACAGGGAGCTAGGTCAGAAGTGGAGCAGCCGGGACCTGAACTGGCATTCTGAGATGGGATCACAGGATACAGCTTAACTTGCTGGCTCCAGCATCTTAGCCACCATGCTGAAGATCCCCTCCCGCATGTTTTGTAATTGTCACTGCTTTGGGGGCACCGTGGGATCACGCCCACAAGAGACGGAACCGTCTGCCACGCTGGACCAGCTGCTCCTCCCTCCTTCTCTCTGCCCATCTCCTTACACCAAAAGCTGGAAATGATTAAATGCCTGCAGAGGGAGGCATGTGGAAAGCTGAGCGAGTCCTGTGCTGCCCAGGGGTGAGCCAAGGTGCGGAGGCAAAGCCAAGGTCGCCTGAGAATCTCCCAGGAGGCGCCCGCGGGTGTGAGGAAGCCCACGGCTTGTGAGAACATTGGGGTGATCAGTGGTGACTTCAGCCCCATGTCTAACCTGGATGACATAGAATCCGGCTCCCTTCCATTCTCTGAAGCTGATGGAGGTCAGGAAGCTGCAGAGGAAACATTTAAAGATGAAAAAAAAACCAATTTTTTTTTTTTGTTATTTTACTGGAAGGGCAGATTTAAAGAGAGACAGAGAGAATGATTTTCTGTCTGCTGGTTCACCCCCAAAGTGGCCACAACGGCCAGAGCTGAGCTGATCTGGATCCGGAGCTTCTTCTGGGTCTCCGACACGGGTGCAGGGTCCCAAGGCTTTGGGCCGTCCTCTGCTGTTTTCCCAGGCCACAAGCAGGGAGCTGGGTGGGAAGTAGAGCAGCCGGGACACAGACTGGTGCTCCGTGGGATGGCTGCAGGTGGCTGGCTTCACACCGCAGCGGTTTGCCCAAGCTCTGTTGAGGGAGGAGCCGCGGTCGTGTGCCCGTATATCATATGCCCGTACACAGGATCCTGGAGCCTGTGATTCTCGGGGTCCCCAGCCCTGGCGTGACTGTGACTGTAGCTCCCTGGGGTTCTCGCAGCTTCTGCTACAAGTGGCATGGCCCATGGCCAGGTGCCCTCATGCTCTGGGAACTGCCAAGTGCATGCAAGCCTTGGCTCCGTTCCTGGCCAGCAGATGGCAGTCCTCAGGGATCAAGTAGCACATCCAGGCAACACAGCCGGGACCACCTGTGGCCCCTGGTGGGCATCGGCTCCCTGGTTGCCCTCAGCTAAGGCCAGGAGGCAGTCCTGGCAGGCTCTGGCCTCGCGCTCACCAGTCGCTGACCATCCTGGGACCAGGCACGAGCAGCTAAGGACTGTCACAGGCTCTGCGGCTTCCATGTCTCCGGTTCCTTAGAATTTGGAGATTGGATAGATTTGGGACCACCCAAGCCATTGGCCGGGAAAAATGAGACCCCCTTTAGGAAGGAACAAAGTGGGCAGCTGGCAGTGTCCTCTTGGAACTCTGAGCAAAGAAAAGCGTTAGGGAGAAAGCCCAGGTTGGGGGTTACAGTGCACAGCCTACACAGCTAGACACGGCTAGTCCGGCCGGGAGCGTGAGGGTCTTGACTGTCAGTACGCTGAGGGCACCGCACATGTTGCGGGTCTGGGTTGAACTCCTGGTGCAAGCTTCTGATGGCTGCAGTGGTGGATCCCTGCCGCCTTCATGAGGGAGGTACTGGGTAGGCAGCTGCCAGCGGAGGTCTTCCTGAGACGAACGCCAGGTGGCAGCATTGCCCCTGCCCGCCGCTGGGGCAGACGTCACTGGCTGCATTGCAGACCTGGAAGTACAAGGATTAACCATATGGGCTAATCCTCCCCCTTCAAGTGCCGGGATCTCATAGGGGCGCCAGTTTGTATTCTGGCTGCTCCACTTCCCTTCCAGCTCCCTGCCTGTGGCCTGGGAAAGCAGTTGAGGACGGCCCAGAGTCTTGGGACCCTGCACCTGTGTGGGAGACCTGGTAAAGGCTCCTGGCTTCAGATTGGCCCTTGCAGTCATTGGAAGTTTGAACCAGAGGATGGAAGCGCTCTCTGTCTCATCTCTGCAAAATCTGCCTTTCCAAAAAAAAAATTATAGATAGATCTTAAAAACGAACAAACAAAAAGAATAAATGGGGCCCGGTGGCGTGGCCTAGAGGCTTAAGTCCTCGCCTTGAACACGCCGGGATCCCATATGGGCGCTGGTTCTAATCCCGGCAGCTCCACTTCCCTTCCAGCTCCCTGCTTGTGGCCTGGGAAAGCAGTCGAGGACGGCCCAGAACCTTGGGACCCTGCACCCTGTGGGAGACCTAGAAGTTCCTGGCTCCTGGCTTCAGATTGCCACAGCACTGGCCGTTGCGCTCACTTGGGGAGTGAATCATCAGATGGAAGATCTTCCTCTCTGTCTCTCCTCCTCTCTGTATATCTGACTTTCCAATAAATAAATAAATCTTAAAAAAAAAAAAGAAGAAATGAACTAAGGGGTCAGGTGGCCCGACAGTTTAATCCAGCGTGCCATATGGGCTCTGGTTTGAGTTCTGGCTGCTTCACTTCCCGCCCAGCTCCCTGCTCAGCTCTGGGAGCTCAGCTCTGACCATTGAGGCTATTTGGGGGGTGAATCAGTGGATGGAAAAATCTTTCTGCCTCTCCTTTCAAATAAATAAATGATTTAAAAAAAAATTAGTAAGGAGAAATGCAAGTTCCAGGTGCCCGGCTCTCCATGGGAAGTGAGTCGGTGAGGCAGTGGCTGGGAGCTCCGGCCCCCTGTCCGACCCTGCCTCTCTACTTTGTAAATATATAATAATAAATAAATAAACAAAAATTCTGAACTACCCTAGTGCAATGACCAAGGCTGTGGGCACCAAGAGAACAAGCTACACACCCAAAAGGGGCCATTCCTGTCAGGTTCCATGTCACCCATTTGAGACCTAGTGTTCTATCTGCATTTCTCTTCTTTCTTTTTTTTTTTTTTCTTCTTATTTTTATTGGGAAGTCAGATATACAGAGAGGAGGAGAGACAGACGGGAAGATTTTCTGTCCCTTGATTCACTCCCCAAGTGGCTACAGCGGCTGGAGCTGAGCCGATCCGAAGCCAGGAGCCTGGAACTTCCTCCAGGTCTCCCACGCAGGTGCAGGGTCCCAAGGCTTTGGGCCGTCCTTGATTGCTCTCTCAGGCCACAAACAGGGAGCTGGATGGGGAGCAGGGCTGCTGGGATTAGAACCGGCGCCTAGTGAGTATGCAAGCTGAGGACATTAGCCGCTAGGCTACCATGCCAGGCCCTCCAGCTCTATTTCTGAGAAGTCGAAACCTGAGCCCTCGTAGCCCGGGGCGTTGGGCCTGACCCTAAGGTCCCCTCTGCCCTTGTCCTCATAGCAGAACGGGCATGTGAGATTAGCCCAGTCTCCTTGTCAGCACGTCACCGGGAAGGTGACTTTGAAATGGCCAGTCGGCCTTGTGGCTTGCTGTTGTTCTGTCTTCTCCGGTCTGTCTGCAACACCACCCTTCTCTGCTTGCTTACCCCATTAACGGAGGCTGAGAATGAGGCTGGGATTGTCCAGCTGCTGTGGGGTGGAGGGTGGTGGTGTCCTGGCACAGTGGGTTGGGCTGCTGCTTGACATACCTCCAGATCCGACGCTCTGCTGCTGTACCCGGGAGGGTGGTGGGGGGCTTGAGTGCTTGGGCCCCTGACACTCAGCGGGGGCGGATTCTGGTGAAGCTCCTGGCTCCTGGCTTTAACATGGCCCAGCTCTACTTGTTGCAAGATTTGGGGAGAGAGAATCAACAGATGGAAGAGCTCCTGTCTCACACAGACGATAATGAAACCTCACTGGTCTGTCTGCTGTTTTGGAGGCGCATCCGACTTGAGACGTGTGTCAGAACTCCAATCCTTTTTCATGGCTGCATACTATCTCACCAGCGATGTTTTATGTCCCCACCGGCCATACGCAAAGTTCTCTTGATGTCTCCCTTCTGTCCTTGCAGTCTTCTTGCCGGGCCAGCAGGAACACGGTGAGCGGCTACTTCCTGGCAGGCCGGGACATGACCTGGTGGCCGGTGAGTGTACCCTGGCTCCTCCCCGAGGTGTCTTCCTTATCCAAGGTCACTGCCCAGGTGGACTCAGCGGAGCAGGCCTGAGGCGGTGGGACCCACCCATCGCTGGGGCTGGAGAAGAGGGATAAGCTCCTGGGACCCCTGAACCAGCTGAGCCCACGCCTGTTCCAGCTCTGTGTTCTTGGCCATGGTGCATCAGGGTGACAGCTGAAGATGCAGGAGTTGTGGGGGGCCCGAGGATGTGGCCCCGACCTGGGACCTGCTCTCCACCGGTCTCCCCGCCTCTCTTCCAGATCGGAGCCTCCCTCTTTGCCAGCAGCGAGGGCTCTGGCCTCTTCATTGGACTGGCGGGCTCGGGTGCTGCTGGAGGCTTGGCTGTGGCCGGCTTCGAGTGGAATGTGAGTGCCCAGGACCTGCACCCCCGGGTGGGGGCGGTTCCTGCTGAGTGCCCTGCTGAGCGCTGAGCAGGATGCACGGGACCACCGGAAGGCGGCTGTGGGCCTGGCCTGCAGCAGGGAGGCTGCGTCGGGGCAGGCAGGCCGGCAGACTGCTGGTCCCCGTGGCCGGCTGCGGCTTGGGGCGGGCTTCGTGGAGGCCTGCCCCTGCAGACCTGCATACTCCCCCTCTGTCCTGCAGGCCACGTACGTGCTGCTGGCTCTGGCCTGGGTGTTTGTGCCCATCTACATCTCCTCAGAGGTGAGTCTGCTGCTGGGATCTCAGCCCCCATGGGAGCTGAACTTGGGTCAGGTTAGCCGTGGTGACGGGCAGGACCCCCATGGCCTCGTGCGTGCAAGGGGCGGGCTCTTGGCGATGGAGGTGTTATTAGTTCAGGTTACATTTCTGTCCTTAGTTCAGGCAAGCCCATCTGCCCTCAGCCTCAGGGGACCTAGGCATACCTGGGCTTCATACAGCCCACACACCTGTTCTGTACACTTGAACTACACACCTGTACTGTTAAGCCGAACATCACACCTGGGATGTGTACCTGGCTTGCTCACCAGGACCGCACACCTTGGTGGCACGTCTGTTTGCACCGTCCTTGCCTCTGGTCCCGTCAGTCCCAGCCCTGCCATCACTACGCTGAGTGGATTCTGTCCCCTGGGCGTCTCTGCCTGTTCCCCGGCTCTGCTGCTCACAGCCACCTCCCCCTGCAGCTCCCACACCCATAGCGTTTCTCTCGCAGCCCCGTCCCAGCAGTGGCTCCTCCAAGCCATTCCCCACCTTCAGCTCTCAAGAAGAAACCTCAGCGCCCCCCAGCATCCCAGCACCCCCAAACTCTCACAGTGCAGCTGAGAACATGCAGTCAAGGCCCAGGGCTGGGGGGAGTAGCAAGCAGGTGGCGTGGTGGGGAGTATCCTGTCCCGGATGCCAGATGGCGACTCAGGGGACGAGTGCTTAGCCCAGCTGCTGTGCCCCCCCCCCAGATCGTCACCCTGCCCGAGTACATCCAGAAGCGCTTCGGAGGCCAGCGAATTCGCATCTACCTGTCCGTCCTCTCCCTGCTGCTCTCTGTCTTCACCAAGATCTCGGTGAGCTGCCCCCTGGTTCCCCGGCTTCCACCTCAGTGCTTGTCACGGCTCGCGGGGGGCTCGGGGCTACAGGATAACAGCAGCTGGCCTAGCCTCAGCCTCTCCCAGGTGGTGGCTGGGGGCTTCAGCTGGGGGCTGGGCGGGCGGCGCGCAGGAGACCTTGTGGCTACTGCTTGGGCCCAGCTTCTAGGAGGGGTTGGGGTGTCTGCCCTGGGTGTAGCACGCAAGTGGTTCAAAGGTGTATGGTCCTGCTTAGCTCCGGATCAGGCTCTCAGCTGGGGTGTGGGTGCTGTGGTGACGGTGGGTGGCGCGGGGGACCTGTGATGCTCCTAAAATCTTTGGACGTAGGAGTCTGAGGGAGCGTGGACTTCCCTCCAGCTCTGGCTTCTGAGAGGAGCTTGGTCCTTGAGCATCTGTGTGAGGCAGGTGTGAGGCAGGTGTGAGGCAGGTGTGTGGCAGGGTCCAAGTTTCTCCTTGATGGTGAAGGTGCCCCTCTGGGCCTCCTCCTGTAGCTTGTGGAAGGAAATGGCAGAGCTCGCAAGGGGAGGCATACACGCCGCTTTCCACAGCGAAGGACATGGGTGCCCTGGGCGAGAGGTGGACAGTAGTAGGCCGTGCTTTGGGATGCGCAGGGGTCCCTGATTAGGTGCTCGGGGTCCAGGCAGGAAACAGCATTAGGAAAACCAAGAGAGGCAGCGGAGCGCTGGGGACCAGGGCTGCAGTGTTTCCGGATGTGAAAGCGTGTGCTGGAGGCTCCAGGCACTCAAGATGAACAAGGCGCTCTGGGGGTGGGCTGTCCTGGGGGAGGCCAAGTCTGTAGGCCCCCCCGAGCTCGAAGCCTAAAGCAGGAAATTTGGGTGGGACTCCCATGATGAGTAGAGCAAGACGCCATAGAGAGGGAAGGTTGTCCTGGCCACGGCCTGGAGCAGCTGCTTACTCGGTCAGAAGCCAGGGCCCTGCTCCTCTCTGCCCTTGCCCCAGGGGGACAGCCATCCAGTAGCAGCCAGGATGTGGCCACTCCAACTCCACTTGTGACTCAGCGCCCCCCCGCAGACTGTAAAACGGGGAGCGAGCGCTCACATCAAGGCTGGGCTTGCGCGCCAACGCCGGCACTGCCTTCCAGAAGCCGAGGGGGGAAGCTCCAGGATGCTAATTGCCAGGCTGGGTCTGGGAGGGCACCGTGCCGCCCTGGCCGGCGGCTGCGTCTGTGCAGTGAGCCCTGTCTGGAGTGAATCCTGTCCCTGAGCTCATGGAGAAACCTCGGGGACCTGCTGCTGTCCTCCTGGCTGGCAGGGAGGCACTGGGCTAGCAAGGTGCACAGCTGCAAGGAACCGAGGTCCAGGACCATGCCTGGGGATGCCGGAGCCCTCTGGGAGCCAGGGGAAGAAGGCAGGATACAGCCAAGGACTGCTGGGTCCAGGGTGGGATCCTCTGTGTTATGGCCCCACCACCTTCCTGCTCTGGCTGCAAGCCAGTCTAGCCACCTAACCAGCCGTGCTCCAGGCGGAGTTCCTTAACCTCAGCTTACATTGTCCGCAGGCTCCCTCCCTCTCATTTACTGTCGTTGTTGCTGTTGTTTTACGTTTTATTTATTTTTATGGGAAGGGCAGATTAAATTTACAGAGAGAAGGAGAGACGGAGAAAAATCTTCCATTGTCAGCTTCAGTTCCCCAAAAGGCCTCAACAAGCCTGAGCTGAGCCGATCCAAAGCCAGGAGCCAAGAGCTTCTTCTAGGTCTCCCATGTGGGTGAAAGGGCCCAAGGACTCGGGCCGTCCTCTGCTCCTTCTCAGGTGCCTTAGCAGGGAGCTGGGCTCAAACCAGTGTCCACAGGGGATGCCAGCATGTAGGTGGAGGCTTACCTTGTGAGCCACGGCTGGCCCTTCCCTTCTGCACACTCCGTGTCTGCACACTGATTGCACCTGTCCTGCTGTTTGCTTCCCCTCTCCATCCCAGGCATGTTGGTCCCCGGGGCTCCCTTCTGTGGGCTCAGGAGCAAAGTCAGGGCCGAGATAGGGAGCTCTGAGGCAGCAGATGGCCAACGGAGGGGGTTCAAGCCTTGCTTCCCAGGCAGGAAAAGGGAGTGGCAAGGCCCAAGAGGCGGGAAAGTGGGGGTAGCGGCTGCATCCTGCTGAGAAGGGGAGTGACATCCCCCAGAGCCACCCAACAGCTGCAGGTGGGTTGTGAAGACAAGAAGTTCTACCTCTGTGGAAATAAGCTCAACTGGAGGGCAGGTGCCTTTGGGGACAGTGCTGCTCAACCATGGTAAACATCACAGAACGGACCAAGCAGGCAGGGAGGAAGGTGGCTTGGGCAGTGGGCACCAGCATGGACCCCGGCATCCTTCAGCCCGGGATGCATTGCAGCCGGTGGCGTCCAATGCTTGCTGACTGCCCGCAGGCTGGGTGAGCCCTGTGGGTCAGCCACAGCCCGTGCCAGTCAGCCCCATGCGGCACAGCCTTCTCCCTGGGCCCTGGGCTCGGATACTGCTCCAGCCTTGGGTGCTCTGGGTGGGTGTGGCTTCAGAGCCCTATCCCAAGGACTGCTGGCGGTTAGATCTCTCCGTGCCTGAATATCCCGCAAGGGTCAGCACTGGGTGTCACACACGATTGGGTGTGACCCTGTGTGCAAAGGGTGGGGAATCAGGGTGGGTGGATGGGGGGAACAGCACAGGCCCTGGGAGGACCCAGCAGACACAGAAGGCAGGAGCAGGGCAGCTGAGGTGAGCAGGGACCAGACCACAGGGCAGGAATGGGCAGGTTGCTGGGCTGAGCATGGCACCATGGCCAGGCCCTGCTGGGTGGCCAGGAGGGCGGCCCTGGCTCACCCTTCTTGGGACATGCTGTTCCCTGGAGCAGCCCCGGGGTTTCGCCACTGTGGACAAGTTTCTTCTGTTCTCTTGGGCTTGCCTGCCCTGTCTGGGCCTTCAGGGGGGGGTTTGCTGTGCTCTGGGCCTCCTGGGAACGAGGTGAAGCTGCGAGTCAGCCACCTCTGGATCCCAAATAGGTGTATTGTAGGTGGTGGTGGAGGGGCCAAGTGCTGCTGTTGCAATTGCTCCAAGTGAGTGTGTTGGCTCCATTTCACAGCTAAGGGCTACTGAGGCCCGGGGGTGGAAGGGACTGACACATGGCAGAACAGAGACATGGAGCTGGGTCCTCACTTCTCCTTAGCTGCCTGAACCCAAGGGAATGGGAACTGTGACTGCAGAAGGAAGGGGTGATCTCACTCGGGGTTCTTCCTGGACTTGCCAAGTCCAATGCCTGGGCCTTCACTTGTGCTGTCTGCACGTGGCAGGCTGTTCAGCTCTCTGGGGCTGTAGGGGTGAGAGCAGTGGGCGAGGGGAGTGGGGTCCGAGAGAGCTGGCAACTGCACAGTGACAGGCCTGGAGTGGAAGGGGAGGCTTGGGCTCTGCCTTGCTGAGGGGGGAAGCTGGGACGCAGGGAGGGTCTTCCTTAGTGGCCAGAGGTGGAGCCGCTGGCTTCCTAGAAGCTCCATGCCTGGCTTGCTCTGCCCTGGAGTGTCCTGGTAATTCCTTCCTTTGATAGCTGCCAGGCACCTTCCTCGGACAGCCGGGGGATTTTTCACCCCCTGCTTGGGCCTCAGTTTCCCCTCCAGCCAGATGGAGAGGTGAGAGTAGACGCTTGAAGAATGCTCCCTGCGCTAATGTTGAGCCCACAGGCTTCCCTGCAACGAGGAGTGGGTCTTATGCCTCCTGAGCTCCAGGAAGGAGGGAGCCTTGTGCAATCCCAGGCCAGCCCCAACCTTCTTAGGAACCTGTTGGCCCCCAGGGACACACCTTTTTCTGGGTCCCTCAGCCTTGCATGGCCTTCCCCTGCAACTCTTTTTTTTTTTTTTAATTAATTCATTTATTTAAAAGTTGGAGTTACACCATGGAGAGAGGGAGAGATCTTTCATAGCTGGTTCACGTTTAAAGTTACAACAGCTGAGACCAGGCCATTCCAAAACCAGGTGCCAGGAGCTTCCTCCAAGTCTGCCTCTTATGTTTAGGGGCCCAAGCGCTTGGGCCATCTTCCGCTGCTTTCCCAGGCACCTCAGCAGGGAGCTGGATTAGAAGTTGTTCTGCCGGGATTTGAACCGGCGCTCGTATGGGATGCCGGCATTGCAGCTGGCAACTTCCACCTGCTGTGTCATATAGCCAGACCTTACAGCTCCTGGCTTCTGCCCGAGGCCCCCCTGGCATGGAGGGGGTTGGGCTTCACTTCTGCCCAACCCGCTCCCAGGTTCAGTAACAACGCAACATCAGGGGAGCATCGGCCACTGCGGACTTTATTGAGAACGGAAGCGATCCTGTGCATGCCGACACGGCACAAATAGCTGCTCACACAGCGTCTGCGTGCATGTGTGTGTGTGTGTGTAGGGAGGACAGTGTGCCCCCCAGCTCTTCCCCTGTGGGGCATGGAGGTGCAGAGAGAGGACCTTGGCCAAGCCTGGCCCCGCAGCAACTCCGACCTGGGGCTTCACACAAGGCTTGCTCTCTCCCCAGTTGGACCTGTACGCAGGTGCTCTGTTTGTACACATCTGCCTGGGCTGGAATTTCTACCTGTCCACCATCCTCACGCTCACCGTCGCCGCCCTGTACACCATCACAGGTAGGACGCCCTGTGGCAGGGTTGAGGCGGGGACCTGCACGTGGCTGACCCAACGGGGTGGTTGGGGAAGGCAGGCTGCTTGGGATATGGCACCTGGGAGGTGGCCCAGTCGGAGTGGGATGGGCAGGAGGTTGGAGGTCAGCAGCTCGGCCACCTGCAAAGCACCTGGGCACGGCAGGGCTGTGACGGCCCAGTCGGATGCTGCAGGGTCCAGCCCACCTTGCAATGCCTCGTTCCCACCTACAGGGGGCCTCACCGCGGTGATCTACACGGACGCCCTGCAGACGGTCATCATGGTGGTGGGGGCTGTGGTCCTGGCCGTCAAAGGTGAGGATGAGGCTATCTCTGGTCTCAGCAGGGTCCAGGCTGGCTGGGTCCTGCCATTGCACACTGCCCAGCTGTCACCGGCTTGTGGCCTTTTTGCTGGCCGGCCAGGAGCTGACTCAGGAACACAGGGTGGGGCCGCGGCCCCGAGGGCTTGGCAGCTAGGTGGGGCGGAGGTGTGGGTGTGGAGACACAATTAGGAGACCACGGAAGTGTCCCAGGCGCCTCCTCCCATTGTCTAAAGATCCCGTGCAAAAGCCCAGGAGGTGCCACCGCTGCTGCCAGACAAGCAGGGAGGAGCAGCCAAGAGCTCAGCTCAGTGAAAACCCGGTGGAAATCTGGACCGGTCTGGGGACCCAGCCAGCTAGGCCCAGGGTGGATGGGAGTGGAGGGACCAGGCTGGGCAGGGCCTGGCTGCGAGGTAGAATAAACTGAGATGGGACAGGTGTATGGGGGAGAGAGACCCCCGCCTAGTGCCCCATGCCAGCCCTGGTCCTGGGAGACTCCATTTTCCTTCTCTATGCCTGTGGAGGCTGGGGCCACATCAGCACTGGCCAGGTCAGCTCTGTAGAAGCCAGGTCCCTCAGAGACCACCACTCCCCTCCTCCCCCCAAAAAAACACTTCTGCTGCTTCTTGAGGGAGCAGCACCCCTTCCCCCACTGCCTGGGGCTGGCAGGAAGCCCCTCCCTCACCCAACGCCAGCAGGACACGGGAAGGGAGAGTGCCCGGGTGCAAAACGCTCATTTAATAGCATTTATCTTAAATACGATAAAATATACATTCAAGTGCACCCCCTTGAGACCTTTCCTTCAGCCAGGAAAGGGGAGAACCCGAGTCAGGTGGGTGCAGGGGGAGTGAGCTGTGACACAAGGCCCGGGGGTGTGTGGAGTGTGCGCGATCGGGCCACCCACCCACTCAGCCTGCGCTGTCTCCCCCTCTCCCACCCCTCCACTGTAGCTTTCAACCAGATTGGCGGTTACGAGCAGCTGGAGGCAGCCTACGCCCAGGCCGTTCCCTCCAGGACGGTCCCCAACACCACCTGTCACCTGCCTCGCGCTGACGCCATGCACATGTTTCGGGACCCTCGCACGGGGGACCTGCCATGGACTGGGATGACCTTTGGCCTGACCATCATGGCCACCTGGTACTGGTGCACTGACCAGGTGAGTGCCAGTGCCACCTACCCACCCCTGCCCTCCTGTCCTCTCGGTGGGTCCAGAGGCTTGGGCTGGGAACAGCTAGGGGTCCTTGTGGTCCCGGGGGGCCTGGGCCCTCCGCCTGGAGTCGTTTGAGCCCCATGGGGGCCCGCCCGTTCTGGCCTTCAGGTGCTTGGCCTGGGACAGTTTGGAGTAGGGGATGCCAAAGGGGCTTGTGTGCTCCTGGGTGGCCCTGCCATCGGCCAGCGTGGGGGTGTTCCGGGCCGGCCTCGGGCTCCCGGACTCGGGCAGTGGGCGGGATATGGGGCCAGCCTTGGGCTGCCAGTGGTGGGGGCCGGTGGGGGCCAGGCCGGCCTGCCTGGGAGAGCTCTGGGCGCCATCAGCAGCTGCAGGGCGGAACTGGGGAGCTCCTGGGGTCCTCGACGGCCGTGCGAAGCCATCTTTATCCCTGGTCCCAGAGCGGTGCAGCTGCTGGCTCTGGGTGGAGGGAAGGAGAGGAGAGTAAAGGGTGGGCAGTGCTGCAGGAGGGGCCCTCACCAGCGCACGGGCTGTCCTCTGGGCCCTGCCTCAGCCTCCCCTCCTGTCATGCAGATGGTTCTGAGGCAGGCTCTTGTGGCCACCTGCTCCTCAGGCTCCTCCTTTAGCTGCATGTGGGGACCTGAGATGGGGCTTTTGAGGGCCAGGTCTCCTTTCTGCTGAGGGAACGGGGTAGTGGTTTCGACTATCCCCCATACACTCTGACTGCCCTTGGCCTTGTCCAGCGGTCTTTGCCAAGCCTCCCGTCCTCTCTGGGCAGCACAGCATGATGCTACTGGCCCGCCTGCAGGTGGCTCCAAGCAGGATGCGCGGGTAGGCCTGTGAGGCAGCACAGTTGCCCTGGCCCAGGCCCTGCTGGTTCGTGTGGCTGCCGTGCCCAAGCACAAGCTGTGACCTGCAGGTGTGAGTGAGGTGCACCTGAGCTTTGTCCATGTTCTGGTGGGCCCACAGTGGGCGGTCACCTGGGAAGGGAGGGGTTGGCAGCCCTGGGGGCTGGGTCTCGGTTTCTGCATCTGTGACACGCTGACCTGTGTGGCACACCTCCCTGCCCCCGTAGGCTGTCCAGGGCACACATTTGCCTGGGGTGATGAGAAGCCGGGGAGGGGACCCGGCGCTTTGGACGCCCCCGCTGGGCTGAGTCCCTTTGCCCGGCTGCCTCCCGCCCCCACGAGGCTGCCTGGCCCAGGTGTATGTGGGTGGAACGCTATTCGGGAGCTTTTCCCATGAAGAGCAAATGAGTCACCGTATCTGTCCTCGGGGTCAGGGTTGGACGGAGCAGAGCAGGAGGAGGGGACCCTGTTGGCCCCCCAGGATCCAGAGCATCTGCTGGCAACTTGGGGTCAGGGCTGGGCCTCAGTCTTACTTTCTGGTCCCCCTCACATACCCTGCTTGGGGCTTTGCCCTAAGGGGAGACTGAAACCCCATCGAAAGGGACCCCCAAGGGCTTGGGGGTCTACCATACCCATCATCATGGTCACTCCTATGGGTCAGTGGTAATTAGGGAGACAGTACCTCTGCTAAGTCTTGGATATCTGGATGGGGACAACGAGGCACAGGCTCATTGGTACATGCCAGTTGAGGCGGGATGGCCCTGGCATCCATCTCTCTAACTGTCAGAGCCAGAGCTGCAGAACCCGGTGGCATCTTGCAAACCACCAGGGTGTGCACCTGGCAGGGTGAGCACAGTGTGCCAATCATGCCTCCCCAGGGGTGTTATTTTAAAGGGAGCAGGGGCAGGTGTCTGGCTCGATAGCTAACACAGCAGGGGCCTCTGCATCCCACATCACACTGCATGAATTCAAGCTCCAGTTCCCGCTCCCAGCTGTAGCTTCCTACCAGCATGCAATCTCAGGAGGTGACAGGTGACGGCTCAAACCACTAAGTCCATTCCACCCCAGGTTTTGGGACTCCGGACCCCTGCCAGTGGTACCTAGGTCAATGTTTGTTCCTGGTGCGTGTGGGGTCCAGCCACAGTGGGGGTGACGGTGGCATCCCCGACACCATCCTACCTAGAGGGACACCTGCCAGGCGTTGCAGGCTGCGCAGGTTTCACCCTGCCTGTGGGACGCATGGCCATTCATTCTCTCCCTATGGCCTCTGCAGGTCATTGTGCAGCGGTCCTTGTCTGCCCGGAACTTGAACCATGCCAAGGCGGGCAGCATCCTCGCCAGCTACCTCAAGATGCTGCCCATGGGCCTGATGATCATGCCGGGCATGATCAGCCGGGTGCTCTTCCCAGGTAGGACGGGTGAGCCACGGGCGCCCAGGAACCGCGTCATTTGTGGGGCAGTGGGAGGGCAGGCAGAGGATGGGATGAGCAGGTGCATTAGGCTGGGATGGACAGACACGGACGTGGTGTAGTCTGGGTCTGGAGAAGGGTCTGTGTGTTGCTGTGTAACTTCCAGGGTTCCTGTGACACAGGGACTGCATGGCCAGCAGGCAGGTATCTGGGACTCTGGGTGTGGACATACGCATTTCCTGAGGTTGCCTGTTGGGGGCTACTGGGATCCTGAATCCCAGCCCTGATGGGAGATGGGGGTGCAGTATATTGTGTGGCTCCTACCCTGCCTGCTGTCAGTCTTCCTGGGTGCGCTGCTGGGGTTATGGGAGCCCTCAGGGACCCCGACCCACCTGTGCCTCCTTGTCCGTAGGGCGTGGGGCCTGCGTCCTCCGCGGGGCATCTGTTTCTTCTCTCCCCCGACCCTGGGCCAAGGGCCCGGTGTAGGTCCCTCGGGTCACATGGGGGGCGCTGAGCTGTCGGCGTGGCGGCTGGGATGGCCCGTTGGCCAGCTGCTCTGAATGCTGCCTCCGGAGGGGGGCCGAGTGGTCCCTTGACTCGAAGTACTCACCGGACATGGAGGAGGCTGCTGAGGGCCGCCGGGTGTCTGGGCCAGGGCCGGGGCCATGGGTGGAGCTGCCTGATAGGCTGTCCTGGTCGCTGAGGGTCACGTAGTCGTCATCATCTTCCTCCTCCTCCCCGTCCAGCCCGTTGGGGAGCCCTGGCCGCAGGCCGCTGGGGTTGTCCTGGGTCACAGACAGCTGCCGCTGCAGGGGACTGTGTGGCTCTGCTGTCCTGTGGCTGGTCCCGTTCTGGGAATGTTCTTCCCCCTGCACGGCGTCGGAGGCCCAGCCATTGCCTCCACCGCTGCCACCATCTTGGGCAAGCAGGTGTGCCACGGGAACTGTCCGGGGCTTGGGCACTGGGGGCTGCGGTTCAGGATGTGCTTGGTGGAGGCCGTTGGTGGTCGGCAGCTCATGGTGGAGGGCGTTGGACTCGGTGGTGGGCTGGAGCCCATCGTTGGGGGTGCTGGTCTCTGTGGCAGGTCGACCATCCTGGCACTGCTTCCAGAGCTGGTGCTGGGAGCCAGCATGGGATGTATCTCGGATCTTGATGCGGTTCATCTGGCTGGGCTGCGGGTTCCAGATGTTGGGGTCGATGATGTTGATATAGCCCAGGATGTCACTGCCGGGTTCGGGGTCCGGCTCCACCCACGTGGGCAGGTAGTCGAACATATTGGCCCTCTCCAGGTTGACCAGTCCCGGATGCACAACGGGTGGGGGTGGTGGCTCGGGGACGTCCCCTGGCCGCTCGGCAGGCACCTGGCCTGGTGGCCCCGGCGGCTGCTTGGCCTCCTGTGTCTCCGACGAGGTCTTGGCTAGCTCGTCCACACTCTTGGCCTTGACCAGTGCGTACTTGGGGTTGACGAGTTTCTTGGCCACGGTGCCCGTGGGCGCCAGCGGGGCCACGGAAGGCAGCACGACGGGCTCTGGCTCTGGCTCCTTGTCCATCGGGATGCCTTTCAGGCTGACACTGTGTGACACGAGGTAGAGTTCCTGGAACTGCCGATCAAACACCTCCACCACCTGGCCCGACAGCACGGAGATCACGTTTCGATCCGTCCTCGCTGCTGACCACGTGAAGCTGCGATACGGGGGAGGGGAGGCACAGCACCCATCAGGCTCATGGGAGCGGAGGAGAGGGTCAGACGCTGGGCTCCCATGGCAGCCCAGGAACCCCAAGGTCACCTGACTTGGGCTGGGCAGCCCTGCATGGGAGAGCCCGCACGGCTGGCTCTTGTCCGCACCCTCACCTCGTCCCAGGGATGGCCACCCATGGGCTCAGCATACCCACGCCCTTCTGCTCCTCCGGGGGTGACACCCGGAGGCTGAGGCGGGCGGGTGTGGCTCAGCCCTGCAACACACCTCCACGCTTTTTGTTTTTCTGAGCTCTGGAATAACCGTGGTGTCACAATGGAGATTAAAGGCAGAAATGAGCCCCTCATCTCCCGCCCAGCCTGCGGGGTCCCCACAGAACCAAGGGAGTCACCTGTAGGAGCCACACACGGCCCGGTCTCCATCGACGAACATGAACTTCTGGGCTAGAGTGCCTCTGAACTTGGTGGATGACCGCGTGAAGAACTCCGTGCCTCCGCTGCTGCGCACTCGGAGATTCTGCACCGGGGTTGGGGGGAGAGGCAAGAGCTACAGAACCACAGCCTTGGCCTGCAGGTCAGGAGGCTGGAGACCGGGGGCCTGGGCCCGGCTTGGGGCAGGACCGGACCTGTGCGGCTGGGCCTGCTAGGTGGAGGCGGCACTGCAGGGAACAGGTAGGGGGGCTTCCTGAGGGGCTTGGGCTGTTGCACTCCCAAGATGAGAATGTCTGGTGTGGGAGCAGGCTCAGAGAGGTCTTAGGAGACCTTGGAAATTGGGGGGGCATTCTCAATCACGTGCAGTACAGTATGGATCATAGCTGGCGATGGTGTGGGGAGCCAGGGGGCTCCCCTCAACGGAGGGCCCTAGTGCTGGGGGCAAGGGAGGTGGCCGAGAGACCCCAGGCAGGGTGGCTGAGTCGTAGGCATGCTGCAGCGGCTCACCAAGGCAGGGCGCCAGGGTGCCCCAGGGAGAGGCTGACTCAGGAGGTTATGTGGTCAGGCTGGGCATTTCCATTTCACACCAGCCTTGGCTAGGGCACCAACCTCTGCCTTGGGGGCAGTCTGGCTGGGGTGTGCACGCCCTCTTCCTATGACGGGGCATCTCACGGCGTCCTGGGGGGCTCCGTGGCTCAGCGCTGACACATTCCTGGTCAGACTGGGCTGTTATGGGCTCGTCTGTCCCTACCCACTCATTTTTAAACTGCCCACGCGTGCCCTTATTCACAGACCCCCCCCCCCCCCCCCCAGTGACCGACAGGCAGACAGACACACAGAGAGGTGTCTATGCCAACCAGGGGCTTGCTGGAAAGGTGAGAAGCAGATGGCAGACGAGTTAGTGCAAGCAATCAAGAATCCCACAGGTGTCTCTCCCGCCGTGGGGGTGTCCAGGGGGCGGTTCCCAGGAAGGATGGCGTGGGTGGACAGCTGCAAAGAGGGTCAGGGACTCTAGGCGGGACATGAGAGCACCTGCGGGGAGAGGTGGGCGAGATGCAACCCGTAGAGCCGAGGGGTTTGGGCTGGGTACCCTCCAGCACCGCCATGCCCTGGGGGAGGACTCAGAGTGGGCAGGGGAAGAGGCTGTTATGGGCCAGCCCTACTTCTGCCATCCCATACCCTCATCCTTTCACCCACTCACCAGGACTTCAACCACAGAGGTGCCCAACAGGCACCCACCCAGCCACGCACACGGTGGACAGCTGTGTCCTGGGGCCCAGCCCAGAAGGCAGATAAAGCCAGGGCTCCTCCCACTCGCAGGCCTGGCAACACAGCAGGAACTGGCCCAGGCCCAGGACAATTAGCGCTCGCTCGTGACTTTGTACCGAGCTCCTGGGAGGAGCCCGCTTGGGGACAAGAAGTTGGAACAGAGCTCTTGTGGGCGCTGTGAGGCCTAGCTGGCACCTGTGCCGACCACAGAGCAGCTCCGTGGTCTCAGCGCTGGGACCGTATGCACACACACATGCACACACACACACGGCCTCAGCCGACCACAGACCAGCCCCATGCTCTCCGTGCTGGGAACACACACATACACACACACACACACACACACACGCACACACGGCCTCAGCCGACCACAGACCAGCCCCGTGCTCTCCGTGCTGGGAACACACACATACACACACACACACGCACACACGGCCTCAGCCGACCACAGACCAGCCCCATGCTCTCCGTGCTGGGAACACACACACACACACACACACACACACACACACACACACACACACACGTGCACGCACTGGGCCTCGGCCTGGGAGGCCAGCTTCTGGCCTCCACACCCCTCCTACCAGGCTCAGGTCCCACCCACCTGAACCCTGGTCCTGGTGAAGCACCACCATGGCTCACGGTGACTCAGCCTCAGTTCAAAGCATGACTCTGTGGCCTTCTCTAGGACTCCGTTTACCAGGCTTCACGCTGGTGAAGGCGGGGAGGGGGCTTGTCCTTTTCAGCCCTGGGGGTGAGGCAGCATGGGGGGGGGCAGCAGAGTCCCTCCCTCCCTCCCTCCCCCAACACCGCCTGCTCCGCGGGCTGTCCCCACCCATGGGGCCTGGATGAGGTCATGTCTCAGGAGGCTGGGCCCACGTGAGCAGGGGTGGAGAGTCCCACAAAGCCGCATTGTTTCTGGGATACTTGGACCTCCCAAGCTGGGGTCCCGAGGAGGGGGGGAATACCTGTGCTGGCCTGAGCGGGGTGACCTGGGCATGTCCTCAGACCCCTGTGGACCTCGGAAGGTCAAGGGTGAAGGCCAGGCATGGCTTCCTCGGTTCACAGAGGGCAGCTGTGAGCAAGGGGTGGGGAGATGGGGTACCAAGGGTCAGTGCTTGGGCCTCTGGGATCCCTGAGCTTGCCCAGGCCATCTGAGGGCAGAATGGGGCTCCAGTCCTGGTGATAAGTAGATGCGCTTATGCCTCTCCTGCCTCAGTTCTTCCTCCTGTGAAATGGGTTCCCAGTGAGAATTGAGTAGAACTCCAGGGTGGAACCAGGAGGCGGTAAGGTATGGGGCCCTCAGAATCTCCAGGAGGCTGCTCCCCCCCACCAACAACGTAGGGGCCTCCAGGCACCTCTGAGCCAGAGGTGGCCTGAGCTGGGAGCAGCAAGGGGAGGCCAGGTGCTGGAAGGCAGCTGTTATTGCCCCCAAGATGCTGGGGCCCTGAGCACACATCTGGCTCCCTGGGCTACTGTGACCCATTCACTGGTGGTCTCAGATTGGTGATGGAGGGTTGTGGAGGAGTGGGTCCAGGTGGCCAGGGCAGGGGCAGGCCAACCTCAGTCCAAGGCCCTGGGGCCAGGGCTGCTATGTGTCAGTACTGCCTGATGTCTCACTGCCCGTGGGAGCTCTCTCTGGCCCTGCAGGCTGGTCAGACTCACCCTTGGCCTCTGCCCACCACCAGATGCCCGCGTTACTGCCTGCCCCTCCTCCATTCGTGACAATGGAAATATATCTCCAGCAGCAGGCACTGGCCCAGCAGTTAAGGCATTCTTTGGATAACCCAGAATGGGGTCCCTGGGTTTATGCCCAGCTCTGCCGCTGCAGACTGTGAAGGGCACAGGCGATGGCCAGGTGGTTTGAGAACTTGTCACCCATGTGGGAGACCAGGCAGGCATTTGGGGAGTAAGCCAGTGAATGGGGAGAGCTCACTCATCTCTGTCTTTGGACACTGTGAAGACAAGCCTCTGTGGCTGAGGAACCCAGCCCTACAGCCTGGTTCTATGGCAAACCCAGGATTCCCGGGCTCCAGTGGCCTGACCCCGCATCCTCACCGGATACCCTCCCACGGCTACTGTCTCTTTGTTCATCAGAAATGGGTCCGGCCCCTTGCCCGGATACCTGCTGGTTTTTCCAGTTTGGGCTACACAAAGCCAGGTCGTTTTGTAGCCCGGCCAGATACCTCACTGCTCCCGTTCTGTTTGAGCTGCAGCTTCTGGGTGACTTGGAGACTACTCCTGCATAACTGGGGTCACACGGCTGGCTCCTGGAAGTGACAGGCTGGGTCCTTTCCTGTGCTCGATTTGAAACACAGTGCGTGGGCTCCTGGGGCAGCTGGGCACCTCCATCTGGAGGGACACTCAGGATTAAAGGGGCAAGTGAGATGGGTCTACCAGACCCTGAATCGGAGGTCTGGCAGAGCTGGGGGTCTCCCGTATGGACCTCCACCAAAGGCAGGAGGAAGAGTTCGCTCTCTACAATGACCTCTTCACATTGGGGCTACCGAATAGCCAATGCTGAGCAAACAGCTGAGGCCCACACAGGGACAGAGCAACCCTGCACAAGAGGACCGTACAGGTGGCTCTGAGCTGAACCTCAAACTGGCACCTACACTGTCATGAAAGGGCACCACCAGGCCTCAATGACACCTCTGTGCCCTGTGGCCCTGGGGGCAGGTCTGTGCAGAACTAGGCAGGGGCTGTCCCAGGCAACACCAGGGCTCCTGGGACAGGTCCGGACTCAGCCAGCTCCAGGCGGGGTGCAGGCAGGTGGGGTGATACAGGTTAGGGAAGGGCCCACAGGGATCTCAGAGGGGCTCAGGGTGAGCCTGAGCAAGCTGGGGTCATACCGTCGCAAGGGGTCCTGTCACCTCCCCCAACAGGAACACCAGCCCCAGGACCCACAGTGCAGGTGGTCTCAGGCCAGGACTGAGGGTGGCCAGGGTCTGGGGCTGGTCACTACTGCCAGTTCCCAGAACGCCTTTATCACCATGCCTCTACCTCTCACGCCAGGGATGTGTGACATGGGGGGACCTGTGTGACACGGGCTGGTGACATGGCGGGATGCACAGCAGGTACACAGGTGTCGGAGGACCCGTCGGGGTCTCTGCCAGGCAACAGAGGAGGGCTGGACGAGGAACCCTGAGGTTCTCCAACCTGCTGCTCACAGGGCCAGGACAGTGTTAAACCCAGGTGCCAACTACAGAACAGGTGAGCAGATGGACAGGGAGACCACATGGACATGTCGGAAGAGTGAGAGACTTGCCGAGGGGAGATCACAACCAACTGGGCAGGACTCAGCCGGTAGGAGGGGAAGGGATGCCCGGCAGGCACTGGCCAAGGACGGGAGTAGGAGTCTGTGCCCTTCCCCTCCCCCCGTCTCCTGCCACTTTCTCCTGGGGTCTCTGTGCAGATCACAGTCCTGAGGCACAGGGTACCCATCCAAGCTCTGCTGCTGGGCCCCTCCCCTCCTCTCTGACTTGGGGCAGCTACCCCACCTGTACAGCGTGGGTAATTGCCCTAACCCACTTCCAACCCTACCTGCACGATCTCTGTTTAGGGAAACAGCAGGTGCTACACAATGGCTGCGGCGGAAGGAGGGCTCTGTCTGCCCCCAGGGAAAGCCTCCCAATGCCACGGGGTCTGCGTTTGTCCCTAGGGAAAGCCTCCCAGTGCCACGGGGTCTGCCCACACCAGCTTATCTGCCCCGTCTCTGCTTGACCGATGGGTGGTAACAGGCTCAACAGGTGCACAGCACAGCAATGCCCACACATCCAGTCCCTTCTCTGATCTACCTCTCCACCGCCCACGTCCTCCAGCCTCAAAACCATCTCAATCTTCCCTGGCCACAGCCCCAGGGGGCTCCGTCTACCTGAGCCTGGATTAACTCCTCCAAAGACCAACTTCCTGGGTGTGAGGGGCACTGCCCATGGAGGAGGCGGCCAGGGAACATTTCAGCTGTCACAGACAGGTGGCCTCTGTGGCAAAGGGTGGCCTTGAAGCAACAGGTGATGCAGCGCATGGTGGGACCTCCAGCCCAGGCTGAATCAGTGTTTATCTTATCTCTGCCTGGGGAGGGCAGTGAGGATCCTGTCCCTTGGGGCATTGGCACAGGAGCTGTGGCTGCTTTGGCAAGGAGGCTCCGGGAATTCAGAGCACTGTGTGCCCCCCCGAGGGCTCTCCCTCCAGTGTGGGCGGCCACACGAGGCGGCTGGCGATGACTCCTGCTCCCGGCTGTCCGGGCATGTGCCTCACTCACCTTGAGGTGCCCCAGGTGCATGTGAGCCCGCTCACACATGTGCAGGAAGTGCTTGACGCTGCTCTCCTCCACAATGATGTACACGGCCACCTTCCTCTTGAAGCCGGCGTCTAGCAGGTCCTTGAAGATGTCCACGTCGGTGAACATGTCCATGACTATGGCTATGACCTTGGATGTGGGAATGAAGGCACATCAGAGGGCATGGTGATGGAGGATGGGGGAGATCCTACCCCACTCCAGGGGCCCACTGTGCCCCTCCTATCCCCCGATCCTGGCTGGCACCCCGAAACTGAGAAGCCAGGGGTCCTGGTGCTCTTAGGGTTGGGATTTGTACTCAGGATATAGATTCTTGATCTGAACACACAGTGGTGGGGGAGGTCCCCGTGGGGAATGCCGGAGTGGCACAGCTGCCTGCCCGCTGCTTCCGGAACACGAGACCGCAGGGAGCAAAGCCAAGCTCAGCCGGGCCTGAGGAATGGGGAGGGGACGTTGAGGAAGCTTTAATAGGGAGGCGCCTGGGGCCAAGGGTCGGCCCAAGAAGAGCGAGGACAAGCGAGGACTAAGCTGCCGGTCTGTGCCCGAGTCATCGGCCCTGGCGCCGCTGTGGCCTGCCTCCCTGGTCACTTGCAGCGCCACCTCTGCTTGTCCACCCTGGGCAGCAGTGTGGCACTGCCCAGGCATGAACACGGAGGCATGCACCCAGCCTGGCAGGGGTTTTCTCAGTGTCGGCTCCCTGTCTTGCTAGGCAGCATGGGGGGAGCAGCCAGACTGGGGCTTGAGGCTGCCTGCTCCTCCCCTCACCCACCAGGAGGGACCCTTGCCCAGAGAAGCCAGGGCTGAACAGTAGGCCACATGGTGAAGCCGGGTAAGGGGTGGGCGATTGTGGTCAAGCTGGGATCTCCCCAGACTTTGCCCTACAGTGGAGGGTGGTCTGGCAGGTGCTTCTCACTGGGCGCCAGGAGGCAGCCAGGATCCTGCTGGGGGTGGGGTGGGGAGGGGCTTCTGTGCACGCCCCACGGTGAGCTCATCGGGCTGGCCTCTGCAGGCCCAGCCTGGTTCCTCCTGGGCCTCAGGCCCCTGCTCATGCCTGTTGCTCATCTGGCAGCGAAATCTCTGCTCTGTGCCTGCCCTGCCGACCCCGGGCGACCCTGAGCCAGAGGCCCAGCCACTCTGGACCATCTGCTCATGGTCCCCACAGGCTCCGTCTATCTCATAGATGCTGTGAACTGTCTTGCCTTGCCACCCCCTCCCTGCTGCCCAGGGCTGTCCTGTGGCCAGGGAGGGTCTGGAGCTGGAGTAGTGGAGCTTTCTATTGCAGGTGTCCAGGCAAAAAAAGGGTTAGAGGGGTGGTCTCACAGCAACCTTTGCTTTCGCTGAAGAGGCTCAGGGTTGGGGGTGGCAAGCGGGGACCTCCTTCCCTGGGATCCCACAGCTCCAGGGCCACTCCTGAGCCAGGCAGCAGGGTCAAGGCTGGCAGAAGGGGCTGGGTCCCAGTAGGACTGTGCGTTCCATCCCTGTGTGGCTGGCTGTGGGTTTGGTTCCCCTTGGGCCTGCCTGCCCTCTCTCCTACTCAACCCACAGGCTTCTAGCCTTCCGGGGTCCTGGGACTGAGTGTGGGTTTTGTCCCTGGGGGGTGCTCAGCAGCTGCCACTGTCTGCAGATGAGCAGGCTGGGAAGCAGAGGGAGTGACAGAAGCCATGGTTGGGGACTGCTCCCTGCCCCTATGTAGCTCAATGGGTCTCGGGAACGCTGTTCTGATTTGGTCCTTATGTCACATTTTGCAGATGAGGGAACTGAGGCCCAGCTCACCTGCCCGTGACATTTTGAGCTTATCAAGGGCAGAGTTCGGCATGGGATGTTATCTCTAGAAAGACTAAGAGCCCAGGCAGGAGCACCTGCAGGTCACAGCCCCTCCTGGACCTTCCGTTTCTCTCATGCTACCTCGGGTCCTGACCCTGCGTGGGGAACGGCAGCAGCCCTGAGCCGTACCCTTTGGGGTCCAGGGGTCCACATGGGAGGCAGGCCCAGGCAACGGGGCATGGCACCTAGGCCTGTGTGTCCCTTGTGCCAGCCTCATCAGCCTCAAGCCTGCACAGTCTGCTGCACAGCCCAGTATTCAGGATGGAGACCCAGTGAGGACAGATCCTGCTGAGTCCCGCCCATCTTGCCGACCAGGGATGCCTCTGCTGCTTGGCCCAGGTCTGTGGCTCCTAGCCAGGGCAGCCAGCATGGGCTGGCTATGCTGGGGAAGGGACCAATGTAGGCCAGGGGCAGAAGGGGGATGGGCTGCACAGAGTGGGTATGGCAGTGGCATTGGGCTCTAGTGTCCTCTCGAGCTGGCGGGGGCAGAGGGCAGGATCCCAGCTCCAGTCTAGTCCACCTGTACTTCTCTCCAGGTGGTGTGAATATGGGTAAGTCCCCAAGGTAGGCTCTTCCTCCAACACTTGTGCCAACACATGGACCCGCCGGCTGCCAGGCTAACTCCTTCGGCAGAGTCCACCAGCCCTGTCCTATGCCCCTTCTCCCCATCCTCTTCTTGATAGCTACTGAATCCTCAGGATATCCTCCGGACAGGGCCACACTGGCCTTCCACGTGAGACACGCGGATGCTGTGGCCCAGAGCGGGGACAGGGACCTGCCCCAGGTGCCCCTGAGCCCATAGGGATGCACATGGGCCCCCCCCAATGCCAGGAGCACACCCCAAACCCCGAAGAGGTTCGTGTTGGTGGGGGGAGTTTCTGGGCCATACGGGAGCAGCTTCCACCTGTGGCTGGCACAGGCTCCTGTGTATGTGTGTGGGTCATTAGGTGCTGGGCAAGAGCTCTGCAGGCATCGTCCCGAGCCCGTTGGGCAAGGGCAGAGCCAGCCTGGGAATCTGGCTGGCCCTCGATGCCTCCGTGGCCTTCCATCTCTGACATCCGGACTCTTTGTGTCCTGCTAGTAGCCAGGGGCCAGGCTGGGGGTTCCTGCCTGCTGGGCTGGGTGCTGGCACCTGCAGGAGGCTTTGGCATAGAAGTTCCCGGGTTCAGACGGGACTCTGCGGAAGCACTGGCCAGGAGGGGCTTGACTCACAGAGGCGAACCGCTGGGATGGGCCCTGAGCTGCCCATAGTCTCTCTCTGATCCCTTACCCCAGAACACCCTGCCCCAAGTCTGCGGCTCATAGGCTACTGTCACGGGGCTGCCTGTCGGCTTTGCCTCTACCCAGCTAAAACTCCTGCTTGTTCTCAAGCCCCACGCAAGGCATGTGCCCGGCCCCTCCTTTGGTCACCGCTCTAGTTGGTGTATTCTGGAGCCGTCATGGTGGTGTGATCACCCAGAGACAGGGTCAGTGGGGAATGTTCCCTTTCTGAAGTGGTCCTGCTGACCCCCTCCAGGCCTGGGGTGGGGGGTTCTCGAAGGTGCCTAGACAGCCATGGAATCTCTGTTCAGTGTTTCAGGGAGTGTTCCCACCCTGACAGGGCCTCATCGACCCCACCTGGGAGGTGGGCTGGGCAGATCTTGCATCTCCGAGCCTGTCCTCCTCCGGCCCTGCTGATGGACATCCGACTGGTGGCAGTGTGGGCTCTGCTCCACTCAAGCTCCCACCCTAGTTCCTCCTGGGGAGTGGTGGCGTGATCGCGTCGCCTTGGTTTCTTCATAACAATCTCCACCCACAAGGTCCAAGGTCACTGGAGCATAAAGTGAATTCCTGCAGGTGATGGACCTCGAGGGCTGCCATCCTCCCCTCCTCCTCCTCCTCTTCCTCTTCACCTGCTCAGACCCACAGCATGCCTCGGGTGCACAGGCCTGGAAGGATCACTGCCCATCTCCCACACGTGAAAGGCCACAAGGAGACCCAGGCCATGGAGTGACACACCGACCTCGGCTGTCCCTAAGCTCGCGACCATAGTCACGAAGACTCTGAATTCAGCTTCCACTACTTCTGCTCACCCGGGGACAGGAATATCTGTATGTCCTCCAACAGCCACAGCAGAAGCCCTGCTACCACACAGGCCTTGCAGGGGACAGTTGTCAGGCAAGGCTAGGCCCACGCAAACTTAATCTAAAAAGGGCCAGAAAATAAACGTGGAGGCAGCCTTGGCTGGCCATTGTGTGCTATGTGGGAGAGGGACTCCAATCCACAATGCAGATATAGCCGGTACAGAAGTAGGGCTTGGCTTGGTTTGGCTTGTGGCCCATGGCTGTCAACCGTCAGTCTGGACTGAAGTCAGCTCTGGTCCCGCCTAATAAACTTTAAGTGCGAGTATACAATTGCTTCCAGCTAACCGAACTGCATCCCAGGACACGGCAATAAGATCCTTAAAGAGAAAAAATGAAAACAAAGACAGGAAAACAGCAGCCACCCACAACATAAAATCTAGGATATCTGGTGGCCAATAGGAAGTTACCAGACACAGAAACAAAGACCCAAACTGATACAGATGTGAGAACTCACAGAGGTGAAAACAGCTATAACTGTACTCTATAGGATCAAAAAAGGTAAGTGTTATGGAAGACACTTTGTTAAACCAATTGAGGTAAAGATTGCTACGTGTAAGACCAAAAAATACAAAAAATACTACGGAGTAGGGCCCGGGATCCCATATGGGCACCAGTTCTAATCCTGGCAGCCCCACTTCCCATCCAGCTCCCTGCTTGTGGCCTGGGAAAGCAGTCGAGGACGGCCCAAAGCTTTGGGACCCTGCACCCGTGTGGGAGACCCGGAAGAGGTTCCTGGTTCTCGGGTTCGGATTGGCACAGCACTGGCTGTTGCGCTCACTTGGGGAGTGAATCATCGGACGGAAGATCTTCCTCTCTGTCTCTCCTCCTCTCCGTATATCTGACTTTGTAATAAAAATGAATAAATCTTAAAAAAAAAAAACACACTGAGTGGAAGAGCAGATTAGACACTGTAGCAAAGAAGATGGGTGAACTTGAAGACACTGTTAAGAGAAACCAAGCAAAATTGCAAAGATTTTAGACAACCAGGATCTGACACCCGCGGGCCAAGTCCAACGAGTGTGTAATTGGAGTCTCAGACCACTCAGGGCTGGGGGTGGCAGAAAGACCGCAGAATGACTGAGAGAATAATGGCTAAACCCGTGGGTCCAAGAAATACAAGTATTTCCAAGCAGGGGCAACAAGCGGAGAATGACGCCTAGGCACATCCTCACCAAAGCACGCTTA